ATGATTAAATCGAAATAGACCAATCACTTTGCTTAATTTGTTTTATTTTTTTCAGTCTGTTTGGGGCCTTAGATAGTTATCACACTTATAAAGAATTAAAATCTATCAACAAAAACCTATAACGCTCAACATTATAAACAAATGAAGAAAACTATTTTTCGAATCGCTCCCATCTATGTAAATATATTCGAGTTGAAATAAGATTAAAATCGATTATAATCATACGACCTGAATCAATTTTAAATCATTTTTTACCTGATATTAATTGAAAATAACCGAAAAAAAAAGCCAAATTTCATTCATTATTACGATTAGTTCCATTTAAAATCGATAAAAGTTTCATAAAAAAAAAAAGATTTTTCTTTTTGATAAATGAAAAAGTCTTCACGCGAATTTTACCGGTTTGCATCAATCTTATTAATTGTTTTGTAACATTTTAGCGAGAACGAATCGTAATAATCAATGAAATTATGATTTTTTCGGTTATTTTCAATAAAAATCGGTTAAAAAATGATTAAAAATTGATCAAAATCGTAGGATGACAATCCATTTTTTATCGACTATTACCCGATTTTAATCTGATTTCAACTCTATTTTTTTACGTGGACAGATCTGGTTTGTCTGAAAAGTTGAGCCTACCCTAGAGTGAAATCGTTCCGCCGCCTATGTTCCGGAACTATCCTTTTTGTGAAGAGAAAAAATCACACTAATTTCGATAAAAATAGTAAAAAGCCACAGAAATTCTATCTAAAAATTACTGTCCTATATGTGTTGAGAGCCATTCTAGTTGCTGATTTGAGTCGTTTTCCAATCCAGATGATCTCCGCATCAGATCTCCGAAAAGGTCAGTCACGTCGCTTGAAATAGACAAACTATCTGCATGTGTTTTGTTTTCACTTTATGCCCATGTTTTAATTTATACATTCAAGACATCGCTAGTGAACAGGTGTAGTAGATAACATATGTCGCTGAATATGAATAATGTTCCATCTTCATTGTGATTGATTGAAATCATGGCAAATGAACAACTTAAATCAGCCGTGCCATATATCCAAGAAATTCGAGCAGCTGGAGAAGTATATGGGGATGCATCTCCTGCAACAGCTCGAGAACAGAAACTCAAAACAACTTTGGACCAGAGGATGCCTGGAGATGCATCGTTCCGTGGGAATATCGAATCTTTTGGGAAGACGTCGCATCTCCTGCACTTCTGTAATATTTTCAATTTCATGGATGTGTGATACCTCTCCTTTAAATCGTACTACTTGTTTCATCTTTCATTTATTTTCGCGTTTTTTTTACATTTAGTATATGCGAGAGATGTCCATCGCGGCAGAACATTTGCCGCTGCCGCGACGCTATTAAATGTGCAGTTCATAGAACCTGTGCTCCTCTAACAAGAGAAAATGTGTACTATTTAACTTACACGAATGAGTCACTCGAGTATTTACATAAAAAGAAATGAACGACAGCGATTGATCTACTACAGTAGCCACAATTGTGATTTCACAGAGAACAATTAAAACTGAACGAAAAAAGTCTGTTTCTTAAAATATTCCTTGAACGAAGGATATACGCCAAATGACAATAAATTTCCATCTTCGCACAGTATGTTTTAAATCAAAAAGAGATAAAAAATGATGAATGTTTAGAGATATTCAGAGAATGCAGTTGAAAGGGAGATAGATAATTTAGAATAAGATGTTCAACTGCAAAATTTCACGGTTTCTCTTTTGCATGTGACCCATTCAAAAGTGACTTCTTTGTTGTTCGTTCAAAAAAAAATAGAATTAACCTTTTTTATGCAAAAGGAAATTGACGTAAGTTGATTGGCGCTTTCATTAATTCTAAGCACTGCCAATTTTTCAGATATGATGAAAGAAGTTTTTAAAATTTCTAGTGCTGCCGCGCCGCGATACTTTTCCAAAAAACTTTGCCGTGACAGCGGCAGCGGTAGCGTCGCGATAGACATCTCTGGTATATGCAGGCAGAATAGAAAAAAAGTTGTATATTTAAACGAATCAATAAATACACTACGTGTGGCATCCTCTGAATTTTTGCAATGGGACAAATGTGAAATTGATAGTAGCCGATGGAGTAAATCATTTTCTATCAGGCTACGCTTGCCGTTTTTTCAGAAAAAATGTCTATACCAGAGCATAATCAACAATATTTGATCAATCAAAACATTGACCATCTAAAGCTGCTTTTGCTCAAAAATGGGAATGATGCCGAAAAATTTGACAGCGTCAAAAATTTTGTCTCTTACCCAACACCAAATGGTGTTTAAGGTAGCCTCCAAAAAAACCAATTAGGCATCTAGCGCTACCTAGTGCATTTGTGTGCTCGGTATTTGATATTAATTCGATGGCTCATTCCTATATGATGGTAGACTAATTTCTTGAGTTTTACTATATTTTAGATTCAACTCTATGCTGTTGATCTTTCATCTTCCATCACATTCACGAGTAAATCAGTAGTTCACCACATCATGAATCGAAAAATATTAAATAGAAAAGATAATCGCAATTTTTTTTTTTGCGACTGAAATTATTTTTAAAACGATCTTCATCTAACACATAATCAACTTTTAAATTTCATGCTTGACTAACTGAACATGAAATATATATTAACGTATAGATGATCTTGCTAGTTTGTTTTTAATTTCAAGCAATAGATAAACTTCGATCAGATTGAAGTAGTGGTACAAGGCATCTATAATACCATGGTTGTTCAAAACTACCATCATCATCAAAACATAATCACAGATAGACTATAGATAAATTTATTAAATAAAAAAGAATTGTCACATTGACGTTACATTCGAAAGGTTTCACAAGAATAAAATTTGAAATAACTCTTTAACGGTTGGTTTTTTTTAAATGAAATAGTAAATTTTCCAAAAAGTAACTAATAAATTTAAAAGTATTTAAGAATAATAGAAGACATTTGTAAACAAATTTGTTTTATTATTTTATGTGTAAGGTAAAACTTGTTGTTCAGTAGGCAAGCATTCAGTTCAAAACTTTTTACAACTTCCTTTAAACATAGTAAAAATTTTTCTGGTATCCTCGGGAACGGAATTAAATTCAGGAAAACTTTTCGGAGGACTCTATGCATCTATATATATATATATGTATATGTAAAGATGTTTGCTTGTAGTTTCCACTGTTATTTAAGAAGAGAATAGTTATCAATGTGAAAATAGCATACTTGAGATTAGTAACAATCAATTCCATAATAGTATTGAAGAAGTGAATTTAAAACTAATATGAATAACGGCACAATTCACTGTGAAGAACATAATCGACATGAAATATCAGAACTTGTAGAGTGGCTCCAGTCAGTACAAAATCTTAGAGTCGACACAGAGCATATCAAGAAAGCAGAGTTAAGGAATTGTAATCTTGATTTTTTCCATCAAGATTACTTTGACGAATAGATTCGTCGATAACATTTATCGGGTTAACAAAATGAATCTGTTCATCCTTTCAACATCTTTGAAAACCTATGATTGCATGAGAAATATCTTATAAATAATTTTTGATTTTGGTGAATTCAATTTGATTCATGTCTGTCGAAGAGTAAATTTTTACGCTGTTTAGCTCAAATATATCAATATCAATATTGTCGATCTTTTAGTAACAACAGCAAGAATATCTAATAATGTTCATCAATTAAGTGAATGATATTATCGACTGTTGTAATCCATACTAATAGAACAAGCAGTAAGTGGTTGATTACGTTTATGTTCTGATCTTTGAACTGGCAAACTTCAAAAGACCAATTACCTTAGCTTAGCGTCTATTTTCACAGATTAAAACTACATGTATTTATCCGGTGATCAGGTGATGCCTCATAGCACTCTTCATTGTAGATGTGCGATTATGAGTGAAGATCTGTTTTGTATTCTTACGGACATCCAAATCTACACACTCTACCCTCATCCACACTTACATCCGTACAAACACACACCATACTCGCGCATACCTCTGTAAAAGTCTTGAAAACCCATCGTACAATCGATGATTTGTAGTGTGTTCTAAAAGAGACAATGTGGTATATCTAACCTTGTTAAAATCTTAAAGTAAGATTTTTTAACGAAAATCATCTGTTGTAAGTGAAAGGTGAATCTTAAAGAAGAATATTTCAATTTGAAGTTAAAATCTGATTACAAAATCAGTTCGTTATTTCATGTCTTCTGATAGAAAAATTCTATTTGATTGATTTCTATGTCAAATACGATTTGTAGTGCATATGACATTGGAGCATTTCGGTCTTACAATTACAGCAGTTTAAATTGTGTGTAATATCATAATTCCATAGCAAACGTACTAAGGAATAATTGAGATGTCAATTACGAAGAATACAACAAATATAATCAAAGTATTGTGTCGTTGAACATAGACATAGCAACAAATTGATAATGTATATGTTGAGAAATAAATTACTAATAATGAGTGTGTGATTGTGTTTTCGTGCATAAACAACAGAAATAATAATGAGCTTGTTAAAACGGCATTAACGCGTTTTCTCGAACATGGCAAACGCTTCTGATATTGCTTTACTATAAAGATTAATCAAGCTGAAAATACAAGAAACAGAAAAGAAAGCATGCTTTCTTAACAAACAAAGTCATGCGAGAAAAAAAAGACCGAAGTTGCTTCTGCAATGTTTACTACCACGAGTATATAATTACGGGAAAAAATGAGCATCTACTTTCTTTTAGAATCGCCTTCGGAAACTTCATTTCTGTATCTCATATCAACTAACTTTACATCGTCGATCTTTGCTCTAATCCACGTTAGTATCTTAGGCAATATTAACATCACTAGAACCATGACTTCACCGACGACAATGAAGAAAGAACTCAACAGGAGAGTCTCACCTACGTCCAAAGATACAACAGATCGGTCGAGTCGATCAAGCTCGAATGAGGGCACTCGAACGGTAATACAATGCAGATGAATTTTAACAAAAGTCTTTGTTTTTTTGTCTTTATGCAGTCTCGTCGACTTTGGTGGTCACCGAAACGCAATACCGTAGAAATTCATAACGAAAGCGTTACAATAAAAAATGCTAAACCGAAAGTGGGCTCATTGGGTAATATTAAGTATCGACCAGGTGGTGGTCAAGTTACATTACCTAAGGAATCTACCAAATGGCAAGCATCACCGAGAATCAACTCATTATCGAATATAAGTTGGACACCTCCAGCGCCGCATGTTAGTATTCAACAAGAAAAATTAAATTGGAAAGCTCAGCCGAAAGTTAATTCAATGGATAATATCAAGTACAAGCCAGTCGAGAGAAGCGTGGAAATTTATCACGAAAAACTTGACTTTACACATGCAACGCCACGTGTCGACTGCGGCTTTTCAAATTGATCTCTTATTTGATGCAACCGCATAGTCGTAATGAAAACAAACCATATCATACATGCTATTGTACTCACTTTGATTCACCTTAAGAATATGAACATATATACATGTAATGTTGCGCAGACGAAATTTGTGTTGAAATTCGAATAAACCGAAGGCGCACTGATTTGTCGATGTAAATGTGTCTTTACTTCATCAAAACTACATACAAACCTCAGATTTACACTCTCACCCCCACATCTTCAGACTGTTCGACAGCATCAATATCCAGTAGAAAAAGAAGCTTTTGAGTGGTGCAAAGATCTCAAGAACCTGACAAGACCCAACTGTCGAATCACTCCTTATGAGAATCTGTCAGAAACTAATGGGACACACACATGTGTTGAGCAATAAACCGAACTAGAGTCTCTCTCAGGATTTATAGTTTTTCAAACGCAGCGAAGTCTTATGTGCATCATATAAAATGAAAAAGAAAAGAAAATTGATTTTCAGTACAAATACTAGTAGCCATTATGGCAATATGTATATTACTGTGAGCAAAAATGCCATTGAAGTTCTGTTTGATAAAAAACCGTCGCAAAAGTAACTAACAAAGGAAAAAGTAGCTAGGAAATATCACTTCGCTTGAAATACAAACAACTAATATCGGTTTCAAAATAAAAAAAAAGTGTGAGTATTTTTTGAATAACTTTTGATAGGAACAAGATAGAGAGCTGCGGTTCTCTCCGTTGGAAAGAGGCGATGAAACTGCATCGATTCGTATATTTCAGATTTTTTTCTGACAAGTATTTTAAAGGTCTTCCCAAGGAATGTTTTAAAAACTCAACGATTTTAGACGTAGAAGAAATTGATTTTTTATTAAAAACTAAGAAAAAAAAAGGATTTTTTCGTTAAAAATTGACCGACAACACACAGTAACGTATTCATAACTCATGATTAGCTAAAGATAATAATGTCGGGCTTGTATAGCTGATAGGTCTTTAGTTAGTGATTCTAGTGTCCTCCTGAAAATTAAAAGTCCATAATATTTACATTATATAACGCTTTATCTTTTGAAAACTTGTCGAGGAACCCTTAAAATACTTGTTAGAAAAAATCTAAAATATACGAATCGATGCAGTTTCATCGCCTCTTTCCAACGGTGAGAACCGCAGCTCCCTATCTTGTTTTTATCAAAATTTATTCTAAAAATACTCGTCCTTTTTTCATTTTGAAACCGATATTAGTACATGAGTCATTCAACTGCAGAAAGCAAATTATTCTTCTGTTTGCTGCTATATAAGCGATTGATAAGTTATGATGCACTTCACTCATTGGCAAATAAGACGCCGTAGACCTCCAGGAAGATGGTCTTTTGAAATGTTGTGAAAATCAACTTTACTGAAAAAATTCTAAGCATAGTGCATTAGAAAAACAGAAAACTTGTAAAGTAGCATGAACTGAAAAGTATCAGCTATTGGATTTTATTAGAATCTGTTAAAAGTAGTCCAGAAAAGTACGCTTGGAATTTCAAGGTGAAAAATCTTAAGTTAAAACACAGCTTAACTTCTAATACCTTACTAAATTATTGGAAGCATAATAAATTCATTGTGCATGGCGAGAGACTTTGATCGTATGATGTGAAAGTGTTAGATCAATATTTAGAGCTGAGATTTTGTTAATGATCGAAAATTCGTCAGTTTCAAACTTCAAGACTCATATCGCTTGGTCATTAAAACCATGGAAATTATTAAAAACTCGCAAAATAGGCCGTTTGATACCTCAAAAATCAATTTAAAAAAAACTGGTGAAAATCAGTCGATCTGAAGAGTTCAAACGAGTCAGTAATCAGTAGATTGGCTGATTCAGTTCCAAATATGACGTGTGCATCGGTCTTCGATTGCGCGCATGTTTTGGATATACTTGTATTCATTGCTCGATAGACTATAGTATATTGATTACTGCCTTATCGTATACAAGATATGGAAGTTGTTCGAAAAAATGATTCAGCAGCGTACCAAAAGTTTTATGATTTCGTCTATTTCAAATTGATCACTCAAATTTTATATGTCGTAGAGTTGGGATGAAAAAAAACAGTAAAAAGCTTGATTTTAATGACACAAAGAAGATAAATTATATGGAACGTAGGATAATAAATATTTCTGCATCAAGATTGTTCTTTTTTACGACCAGATAAGTGATTGAGTCGTACTTCTCTGATCGCTTTTCAGGAAAATATAATGTTCGAAACTGACTTACACAATATGCTGAATTACGTAGAGCCATAGAGAAACTGTCACGAAGGAAAACTAGCATTTTCTTATTCATATATTTTGTAAGTGTTTCTGTAAATATCGAAAAACCAGAAACAAATAGAAAAAATATCGAAGGTTGTCAACGTTCTTCTCGACTTATTCTTAGTGTTTCTAGTGATTGTGAAATCCAATAATCAGTGCCTTTTTTGTTCTCTAAAATGCATGGAATTTCCACGATTACAAAAATGGTAACTGTAAAAAATACTTTTGTACTCAGTATGGTTCGACAATCGCAGAGTTTCTATTGTGAAAGAGCCTTGATGAAGCTATGATCCGTAGATTTGTATTCAAATATAGAGAATACAAACTTAACTCTTATCTGATAAGCATGCAAAGAACGAGAGAGAGAAATTACATAAAAGAACTGAAAAAAAACTTCTGTTATTACAAAGAAATTGGTATGGTGGAGTTGCACAATTTGCAGTCAGACGATGAATGTCATCATACAATGCAGCAATATTGCCCATGACGTCTCATCTTATTGATTCATGCAATTTATGGCATTACTGACGTTTTTTTCTTTCTGCTTACTGTTTTTCGGTTACATTTTTCGTTTTACATTCGCCGGTGCATTAAGATCTCCTTTTTCTGGATAAATGTGTTTTTTTTTGCAAGATACGAATTATGAATGTTATTTTATCGTGTAAGATAAATGTAACCATTTGCTTCTTCTTATAGAAAAACAATGCTAGCGACAGAAACTAATACACAGTGGATGGATAATCAAACATGGACCGAAATAGCGCAAGGCATTGATCAGGCTCGTAACTTGCAAAAATTACAGCCCGAAATGTTTATGCACTTGTTTAAGTATATGCTCTTTTTCTTTTTAATGCAGTATGATTTTATTATTTTTCTTTTTGTTCATTTTCATTAAAGCCTCATATACGACTATTGCTCAAACATTAAAGAATTCCGAATGCTTTCAAACCAGGATAATGAACCATTCATTGCAAAGAATGATGCTTTAGGATATGTTCATGGAGAAAAATTATACAAACAAATTGAATCTCATTTTGAAGCTTATCTTATCAAACTTCATCAAGTAGGTAATCATCACGTTACTGAAAAAAAAAGTTTGTTTTTGATGATTTCTTTTTTATTATTGAATTGAGAAATGAAGAATGAATGAATATTTTTCATAATATCAATCTAGACTTGCATCACTTGTCATGATGAAGATCTAATTCGATTATATATGGATTATTGGGAACGATATCAATGTTCAAGCAAAGTAATTGATGGCTTTTGTAGTTATGTTAATAAATGGTGGATATTAGCAGATAATACAAAACGTATCGATGATATATTCACTGTGAGTTGTGACCGAGCATTTTTCTAGTATTTCCTAGATCTGACATCTTTTCAGTTGTCGATATTGAAATGGAAAGAGTTAATTTTTGAGAAACTCAGCGAGAAAATGATACAAACTTGTTTTAATCGAATCTTAGCTGAACGTAAAAAAGAAATAATTGATAGTCAACTCATCAAAGCTATGGTTCAGAGTTACGGTAAAATAAAATAAAAAAGAATATTAAATTCTATATTTTAATCAATGTTTCATGGTTGTTTGCGTTTATTTCACTTATGTAGTCACTCTTGGTTACAAATTGAAGGAGGCAGAACTGAAGAGAAACGATTTAATAATTCTAGAAATGCTGGACATATACAAAGAATATTTCGAAGCTCCATTCGTTCAAGATAGTGCGAAATTCTATCAACGTGAAGCTACAACTTTTATAAATGAAAATCCGATCAACGAATATCTCAGATGGGTAAGTCTAGTTTTCGTGCTGAGCACCCATTCTTAAATCGCTCGTTCTTTCTTTCTTTTTTTCTTAGGTAGCTCAATGTCTCGTTGATGAAGAGAATCGTATTAAATCCTATCTACATCCATCAACCTTGGAACCAATCCTAAAAATTCTTGATAATGTACTCATTCGCGATAATCTTGATCGTATACTTGATGAAGCTGAGTTTCTTTTCAATAACAGTAGAAATCAAGGTGAGCATGTATCCATTATTCATTCTCCTATCATTGCTTTACGTATCCGATTCTGTGCATTGATGCCCAAACAGATCAATGTTGCTAGAAGTGTATTATAATATATACTGTGATATGACATATATGTAGCTTGATTTACATATCTAATGCCCTTGAATACATATCATCCTTTGATTCTGTAGAAATTTCTATAATTGGTTTAATGATTTCTTTGTGTCATTTTGATGATTTATCTAGCAATAGTTGAATCAAGTTGTTATGAATATTTTGAAATACTTTGAGATAATTTGGTTGAATGATGCAAAAGATTGTTATTCAAAGCTGATACCTTCATTTTGATTGTCAATAATAGAACATACAAATGAAATTAAATCAAGAACTTTTCTAACATATTTAACAACTCTAATTTTTAGATGAATATTATCATCATAAGCTTTTTTCTTGACCTGGAATATAGAAAAATCACAGATTCAGTATAGTACGACATTTATTTACTGACTGACGGAGAAAAATAAAGAGTAGTAAACTTATTTTACATACATTTTGCTAAAGTGAAGAAAATGTTTCATTGAATTTTGACTGAATAGATGTGGCTCTACTCTATAAATTGTTAAGTCGAGTACCAAATGCTATTGATCAGCTCAAGCAAATTTTCGAAAAGCATGTCTATCAGATGGGAATACAAATGATTCAGAGTGTCAGTGAAATTGCAGTCAATGTAAGTACATTAAAATTACACACTTTATACACATATATGTATATTTATTTATATTTGGATTGATATGAAATCAGGATTCTTCAGTTTATATTAATACAATTCTTGGAGGTTATAAAAAATATATGACTCTTATCAAAGAATGTTTCGAAGTCGATATCAGTCGTTTTATTTTAGTTCTCGAACATGTATGTATCCGTGTTATACCTTAGTTTCTATTATGAATAAACTTTTTCTAGGCTTTTACTAAAGTTCTAAATAGAAATGCAGTAACTATTGCAGCTCACAGTAGTACAAAGTCGTCTGAACTATTGGCTTTATTTTCTAATATAATTTTTCAAATAAAGTATGGTTATAATTAAAAGAAATACTAAGATTATTATTCTATGTAAAAAATTTGTAGTAATGATATAGATGATACAAATATTCAAAAATATATAGAAGATATTATGGTATATTTTTACATTTTTTTTTATCTATGTTCATTGAATTCGTTTGAATGTTTTAATAGATAGTTTTCAAATGCATTGAAAATAAAGATGCATTCCATAATTTCTATTGGCAAATGTTAGCTGAACGACTAGTTTATGAACGAAGCGCCTCAGTTGACTATGAAAAAATGATGATTACACAATTTCAAGTAAGTGTATTTATTCTAGTTCTAGAAATTACTCTAAACTAATTGACTTTATATTTTTAGAAAGAATGTGGACATATGTATACATTAAAATTAAATAAAATGATTGAAAATTTTTGTTTGAAAGAAAACTTGATGAAAAAATATCAAGAACACTGCGAAAATCAGCAATCACTATGTAATAGTATGTGAAAACAAAAGATATCTTATGACTTATCTTCAAAAATATCTTTTCAGTCAATTTCTCATGTATGGTACTTGCTACAAATTTATGGCCTTTTTCTGTTATATCCGACTTCAATCTACCATTTGAAGTAATTGATATTATCATATATATATATTCTTTTACATTTTATTTCGATTCTTCTTCATTTAGCTTGCGTCTTCGATTGATAATTTCATTCAATTCTACTATCATCAACATAACAAACAAAAACTTACATGGCTTTATCAATATTCAAGAGGTGAACTACATGCCTATTTTACTAAATCGACATATGTACTACAAGTAAGACTACTCATTTTGATCTTCTTTGGAATTCTATACTTATTTATGCATTTAGGTATCAGCTTATGAAATGGCCATTCTACTTTTATATAATAATTCATTAGAATGGACAATTGAGCAAATCTACAAAAAGACACATATTAAGACTGATATTTTGATGGAAATTTTGTATATTCTTATTAAAAGTGATCTATTAACATGTTTGCAAATTAGAAAAGAAGATTTAAAGGAGAAAAATCTCCAAATGGGACATATGATTCGATTAAATGATAATTTTACAAGGTATAAAATGAAATAAGTATAGTTTCCTACACTATCATTTGCTCTATTGATTCGATTTTTAGTGATCAAAGTTGCATCAATCTAAATAACCCATTAAAAATAATAAAAAAAGATAGTAAAATACATAGACAAAAATCAACTGATGGTGATCATAGATTTTCAATTCAGGTAGATATATTTTGTTTTTCTACAAGATCTCTGAATATATACGTATTTATATGCATATAATTAGGCGACTATTGTTCGAATAATGAAAAGTCGAAAAATTTTGACCCAAGATTTTCTCATACAAGAAGTTATTGATCAATTGAAAAACAGAATTTCGGTCGATGTTGATGTTATCGAAGTATTGTTTCATTTTTATACTTAAAACTTGTAAAAAAAAAACGTATGATAATTATTTTTTCTTTATAGCCATGGATCGAATACTTAATCAATAAAGAATATCTCAAGTATAATGCAGATGATAACAACATTCTAGAATATTTGCCTTAGAAGATAATCGAAATATGTTTACTTACCTTTGTCATAATTATAATCGAGTACCTTAATTCTTTTCTGATGTAATTTTTAATACTCAATATTCAATAAAAAATAAAGGAAATTCTGACAAAGATATTTGATTTACTACAATGTTTTTTCTTTTGCTATTTTAGTTTATATGTAAATTTTGAAAAAAGAAACAATAATTATGAGATTTATTTTTTTCAATCTAAATAGAATTAAATTGTAAAAATTATTCTATCAAAATCAATTTTTGTAATGAACGAATATATTCTTCATGAATCTTTTTGTGTTATTCTATGTTGTTTACTTTTTAATTGAATGAAATGAGACAGTAGAATTACAAAGTCTTCAAGAAAATTAAAATCAATATCCATCTATAATATACATTTTTCTTTTATTTCGATCAGTATATGCTACTTGCCAATAACTAGAAAAAGTAATTTATCAATGGATTGACTTTAAATGAACTCATAATACATGATTGAATTCAACGAAAGTCTGCTAGGATATTATTAATAAATGTTCTGATGATTACATTCGTTTCATTCCTATATGAAACATGTTTAACAGCTTTTCTGATTATCAATTCATGGATACCAAATACTTATTGTACACTTTCAATGATACAATGAGCTGTATGACAATCAGAAGGAGCTAATGCGTGCTTAATTATGCAGAAACAGTCTCACGCTTCTCAAATAGACAGTACTGCATTTTGCCATGTGTTTTTTTAAGAATTCACCATTGTGATTGCTCGCTTGGTTCATAAAAACTATCGAGTGATTAATAATAAAAGGCAACTCCATGGTCAGATTGTTGTTGATTTGATTCTTTATTATGAGAGATTGTCTTCCTAAATAATCGTCTTCTGACAAATAAAACAAAGCATTTATGCTTTTCTTTTAATGTTTTTATTGACGAAAGAATCTGAAATTAACTTTCGTTTCGTATCTGAACGACTCATAGACATCATTGATGTTGTGACTTCGCATAAATAAATGCAAGCACACATATAAACGCATACATTTGCTTTTCATCACATGCAATATAATTTCAATCTTTTTTTTTCATCGTCTACCAACAGATTTCAGAATGAAACTATGATGCAATTACTTGCATGGAGATGTTTTTCGTTTTTAAAGGTTGTGTAATCTACAGGTAAACAGATGACGAAATAAACTCAAGTTATATTTGTTTGCTTGCAAAGAAATTTGGACAAAATGTTTCAAATGATGCATTTTTCTCATGCTATACGTTTGTTTCAAAACATTCACGAAAAATGACTCATATAAATTGGAATAGCTGATAATTCTCTATCGTATAAAATCTGATATTGGCAACTGTCGGTTAATATTTGATTATTTACTGATAGCTCTATCTGAACTCTTCGATTTTTTCATCTATGTCGAAATTTAACGAAAGTTCTATTCGCTCGACATCATCGTCACCATCGTAGTGCCATGATACTTTTTATCAATGTTCTTATCAACACCGATTCATTTTTCTTAGAAAAAAATATTTATATTGTAGTTCAATAAACATCATGTCGATCAATACAAGTATCTCTATTGTTTTTACTTACTTATTTTCTCTAATGTTCCTATTTAGCATATCACGTCCAGGATTAATTAATTCAGAGTTGCTAACGGTCATTTTTCAATCTCACAGATACTTTTTCTAGACTGCGCATATATTTTTGTAAATCTACTTCAATCAATTTCTTACGAAATATTTGCATCATAATTTTATTAATTTTATCGGTGATAATGATCAATAGATTATGAATAGAACTGCCTCTACAAAAATGACTTTTGGCTATATATAAAAAATTTTCAGAACATTTTTTATACATAGCAAAAGTTTATATGGTTATTATTTAATTTTTACGACTCCCTAAATATTTGAGTGCATTAATTGAAAAACCGGTTACTGTAATAAGTATCCTTTTTTTTGTTTGAATAAATACCTAAATAACCATGAAAACACTTTCAGATTATCAATCATCGATTTGCTTGCGTTTGTGGTAAGATTATTAAATTATTAATTCATCAACATTATCGGTTTTATTGTTCATATTACTAAACTTTAATTCGTCATTGTCTTGAAACTGTACAAACATCAATATCAAGCATGGCTTTTTGTACTCTACCTGTCGAACTTCTCCATCGCATTTATGATCATCTCGACATACAGACCATTCTTCTTTCAGTTCGATGTGTTTGCAAACAGTTACATGCTACTACCAATACTTACAATCGATTTCAATTTCGTCTCAATTCAATGTCAAAATTTGACATAGAACTTGTTTCTCGTATCATACGACCTGAACGAGTCATTGCTCTATATATTGTCAATATGTCACAACCATCATTCAGATCTGTTGACTTATTTTTCTCAACATTTGACCTTCATCTATTTGCTTACCTGAGTTCATTAACCATGAGTATAATTGATAATGATAAACTGCATCGAGTTTTACAACATATCACTATGTGTCCGTTGGTTTCAATGTCAATCGATTTAAATAATACTAATATTAGAAATAGCACTACGATGGTTCATCTTTCGTCAGTGATCAATAAATTTAATTTTCGGAAGCTAATTTTAAATAATAATAATCATGTAATCAAGTGCATATCATGGACATCTCAATGCACAGTACAGTATTTGAGCGTTAAAACTTGCAGTTTTCATGAGTACGAATTCATTCTCAAACAATTACCTCACTTAAGAAGATTCAGAGCGCCATACTTCATTATGGACAATGGTATCAATAAAGCATCTATCATTGCATCATGTACTAATGTAAGCTATGTTCAATTGAGATCTCTCATAATGCATGAATGTAATCTTGAGAGTGAAATACTTATGGCGCTTCTCTCCATCACACCATCGCTTGTTCATCTCAAACTGGTGTCATCTCGACAAAGTTACGACACTCTCTTTGATGGTTCAGCTTGGGAACAATTCATTTCCAGTCAATTATCTCATTTGATTCGATTTGAATTTTTCTTCAAATACTGCATTAATAATAATATTTTTCCTAGCTTTGATTCAATTCTCACTTCATTTCGACAACCATTTTGGTTAAGCGAAAAATGTTGGCTAGTAACTTGTGATTATATTATGGAATTGAAAACAATCGCTCTCTATACAATACCAATGCGTACAGATGACAAAGAAAAAATAATAAGATATAAAGCATCATCAACGAATACTGGATGTTTTCTAACAAGAATCTGGAAAAATACGATTGATTTCGTTGAAGATGAGGTATATATATGAAATTCTTTCTAACAAAATATTCTTAACTTCTTGTGTCACTAGGACTTCTTTTTTCACGTGAATTAGTTTTATGCATCAATTCAGCTCGATTAGATAGTGTATAGGATAATTAACATGTGTTGATAATCGTGTAATCATTCGATTTCTCGGTTAGGCTCATAAAATTTGCGGTAGTTACAGAATGAGATTAAATATCTACAAGAAATGATTTCGATATGTATCGTGATCAATGAAATAGCAATGGCATAAAAATCTGTCACTAGTCAAATGATCTTCTAGATGTTTATTCATTTCCAATATTCAAACAATTGCTATCAGCTAGAAACAGAAAGCAGACATATTTGTGGTCGACAATAACTTAAACTAAGTTTATGTGTGTAACTCTCATTCACTCAGAAGTCGAAAAGTATTTGTTTTAGTGACTAGAATTCAGAAAAAAATTAGAACTAATACTCTCGATAGTTTGAAGTCAGTTCATTCATGTAGATCTTCTCATCTTCTCCTATAAAAAACAAAAGATTGACCAACTTATCGCTGAAAAATCCTAAGAAACTTCTTTAGTACAATAATTGAGAGGAATTAGTCAATATTCACCTAGGTAAAAGTCTATTCTTAAAGAAATCGATTTTAAAGAAGTTCTACTTATTGAATGCTTTCCACAGGCATTTTCGAATGATAAATTATTCTCACACACTTAATCACTAAGAAGTTTTCAATTAATTTATCATGCTAGTATCATTCGAATCTAGACATAGTATGCTATTGGTTGATAATTTAAGTAAAAAATTTGATCTCATTAAAGAATAAAAGCTTCAAATCTGTTTTCAGAATTTTATATTGTCTGTTGATTGCAGTAACACGTAAGCTTACAGCAAGATTCAAATTTTAAACATGAATCTATACTAGATGTCAACTAAAACGTATTGTTTCTTTTTCAATGCAGACATCCACAACAGTACAATTTGGATCGAATGGAATCGGATATCATGAAGCAACATATTTGGCAGATGTGCTAAAAGATAATACGGTAAGAAGAAAAAGAAGTCCTTCGTGACATTTCATATCGATTCTCACCACAGCACAAAAATCTAATTAGTAAGTTCTATTGAACATCATTCGATTGTTAGAAGTAAATATTACTCATTTTCCATGTATCGGGAAAGAATTTCTTATCAAAGTCAGTATTTGGAAATATTGAAGGCTGATTAAATATCGAAAACTGCGAGACCCTATTCAGAGGAGGTTTCATGAAGAACATACACCTTAATCAACAGTTCGTGTACCATCCTACTAATACACATAAAGGGAAATACAGAAAACACGATTAGCTACGTTCAACCGTATTTTGATCAGAATATGCTAGCGAATAGTGAAACCGTGAGCAAATCAACGCTGAAATGATGACAGAGGAACCATAATGACCTTCTTGTCTTCGTTTCTTGATAGCTATACCACTACGAATGAAAGACAGTGTTCTATGAATTCAATGTGTTTGTATCACTGAGTCAGAAATAACTTTCACAAGCTGTACACAAATAAAATTCGAAATTATTTTTGCACTATACTTTCGTAACATGGATTATATTCTTACATCGTCGGGTTTTCTTTTTGTTCAATGCAGACAATCACGACACTCAAACTTTCAGTGTGTCCAGCTGGAACTGTTAGTAATCGACGAGAAAGATTTTACAATTTCTATGAACGGCCACTACCAGCTGAACGTTTTCGATTGGATCAGAAGATTGGACCACAACATCTAGCAGATGCATTTAAAAATTGCTCGACGAATTTTTGTGGAACTACATTTACTGTGATTTGTGATACATGGATAACAGAAATTGAACTCTCATCAAATCATATTAGAAATGATGGGATGAAATATCTGGCAAGTGCATTGAAAAACAACAAGGTAAGAAACATAGTCAGAGTTACTACATATTCATAAATCTGAGTACTTCTGGCAAAAAAAAATCATTTGCAATAATATTCAAGTGATTCGCAAATCAAAAATTTAAATAATTGATCATTATTGATTCAAATACTTTTGTTGAGTAAATTTCAAATAGTAGATCTTCATTCGAATAAAAATCCAAGTACTAGATTAATCACTTAAATATGAACATACATAAGCTTAATTTGACTAGTACTAGGTAAATATTTGCCTATTTTCTCCGATAAAGAAGTGATTGAAACTCATACCTCGTTTAAACAAAGAGTTTTGATTCAGTTGATATATTTTTGTTGATTTACTGGAGTAGACTCTCAAGGCACTCTATCTTCAATGGAATTTTATTGGAGATCTTGGAGTACAGTATCTAGCAGATACATTACAAGTCAATACGGTACGAAGAGCAAATTAGTTAATCTGATTGATATTATAGCTTCTCTATTGACTTAGACAATCACAACACTTCATCTTGCATGGAATATAATTACAAATGTTGGAGTAAGATACTTAGCTGATGCTTTAAAATGCAACACAGTAAGAAAAATAGAATTTTCAATCTGATTGATTTTATTGTATCTTCTTTGGATACAGACATTAACAACATTGAATCTTGTATCGAATAACATTTTTGATGATGGAATAAAAGATTTAGCAGACGCACTAATCATAAATACAGTACGAGAAATAAATTCTTCTTTACTTTGTTATTGTTGTTTTTTTTCCTCGATACAGACGCTCACAACACTTCATCTTGGATCGAATGCAGTCGGAAATGCTGGCGCACAGTACTTCGCTAATGCATTAAGACATAACAAAGTGAGATATATGTAGTTTCTTCTTTTGACTGATTTACATGTAATGCGTGGATGTTGGCGTCTGTTGCTTTAGACTTGTTACTCTTTCGCAAAATCTGTATCGAATTCTTGTACTTCATGTTATTATGATCTTAAAATCATAACCGTCTCATGTACATTCCTAAAAGAATATTTAGATCGAGAAAACAGATTATGATGAATTTCGCTCACATCTCGAGCATTAGTTCAGATTATAGTCTCATATACGTCTTAAAAAGTTGTTTACCATCTCAGTGACTTATGAGGTGTAATTTATTATTTCTGTTGAGAAAGAGATGACTTTGATAAGCACTAAAACTAAAATTCAAGATTATTTTGTACTGTACCTTTGTACAATGAATTTCATCTATGCAACATATTAATTGTTTCGTCTTTTCTACAGACACTTACATCACTTCATCTCGGATCAAATAAAATTGAAGATGAAGGAGCAAAGCATCTAGCAGATGCATTAGAAAGCAATATAGTGAGACCAATAATGTTTTTTTTGATTGATTTTTTTGTTTTTTCTTTGATATAGACACTTACGATGCTCTATATAAATTTTAATAAAATCGGAGAGCATTGGATGAAACATATTGCTTCTGCAGTAGAAAAAAATAAAGTCAGAGAAACAGTCATTTCATCAGGTTAATATTATTGTTTCTTTTTTGATGCAGACATCCAAGACACTAGATATCAAATCAAACGATACTGAAGATGCTGAAATAGTGCATGTTATAGATGCGTTAAAAAACAATACGATGGAGGAAATAGTCCCTTCATCTGCTTGATTCCATGACTCTTTCTGAAACACAAATCTTCTCGACGAACTTGTAGCTAAATGTTAAAAATATCATGAGACGTAAAAACATACGACGTTAATGTTTTAACTATCTATGCTCTAATTTATATTCTTGCGTTCATTCTTGATCACAGAAGATTATGACTTTATATTATGTCGACATATATTTATTTATTTATTACAGAGACGTTTTTCTGAAAGTTAATTTCTTACTATCTTCAATAAACAAGAACACTGAGGATTAACATTTTTTGTTTCATGAATTACTTCAAAAAGTAAACTTCTGGCAAAAAACCTATGCATTCGTAGAAATGCAACAATATTCGTTGCCTGCTGAGTATGAGTGTGGGCGAAGAGAGGATGTGAGCACCCATCTACACTCAAAACGATCGAATTTCCTGGTACTTTGCCCCTGCAGAATGATTCTTTCACAAAAACAAAAGGCGTTTAGAGAATATTTGACAAAGAATATTTCGTTTAGGACGTTACCAGAAAGTTATGTTCGCATTCGAGTTTCTAACAACCTTATGTGTGAAAGACGGATTGAAGTTTTTTAAGTCAGGTTTTGTACCTCGGTATTCTGTGAGGAAAAACTTTGTAGAAGTGTAACCTACATGTTGTATTTTAAAAAGATTCTTTGTTACAGATGCGAAAAATTGTATTTAAATTGAAAATATTTTTATCAGGATTTGAGCAAATAGCTTTTTCAATGCGGCAATGTGAGTTTATTTGCGAAACAAACACACAGTGAAAAAGGAGACGCCAATTGGTAACACTTTTGATGGTTGGTTTACCGCTGAATTCGTAACCTTAGAGAGGAGATATTGTTGCAAGAAAATTTTAATAAAATGCGAAATGTTTTTTTGCGATAATCGTCAATGACAAAGGTCGTTTAACTCTTACATGATTTAGACGAATATTTCTTTTTGAATTACACTAGCACCTTCCTTCTTCCAGAAAAAGTTGAGCGAATTTGTACGATGAGCGCTTCTTGTCTAAGAATTGTGTCAATGTTCTAACCGTGTTCTCTATATATATAATAAATTTTATTGAACTGATCATCATGTCACATGGAAAGAACCATACGATGAATAAAGTAAGTTCGCAAAATGATACAGTTTCATCAACTTGTCAACAATTACAATCTCTGGCAATGTCTTCTTGCCGCCAAAATATCAACAATCACAATGCTAATAATCATACCCAACAAAACACAAAGAGAAACAATGATAGGTTTGCCATCAGCCAAGCACTCTCCTGTTCCTGAACTGGTATCATGTTTGTTTGTACAAGGTTCCAGATACTTCGTACGACATTTATCGAAGCAATCGCGACTCGGACAGAGGCTTTACAAAAATTTCCTTTGCAGCAGATGCAGATGTAGGTGTATGTATCGCCATCGATCGACTGCGTGAAGACTAAAAAGGCGATCAATGACACAAGTAACGAACTTGACGTCTTACTCATATTTGTAATATAAAAAAAGAATTGATAATTGCCAAGATACAACTCACATTTTTGTTTGACAAATAAATATTAGATGTAAAAACTTTCGCCAGAAGAAGGGTGTGGGTGGATGTTCGCTTCATCATTATCCACACTCGCAAAAAAAAGTCATTTTGTAGTCCTCCAACTGAAAGAACCGAATCCGCACCGTTTGGTTGTTCGTGGCTTTGCAGCATATCTAGTCGGCATGTCTCAATACTTTAGTTAGCCGTTTTTTCAAACGCTACATCGATGGCTTGCTAGTCTGTACAGAGTTCAGGTGAAGATGTATTAAGATATCGGCAAGATTGATATCATTATGTCGGTCCCTTTTCAACTCTGATTTCTATCACCATCATCAAAAGAAGCCTAACAGTCTGAGTGAGAATGCGTCAATGATTTAGGCGAAAAGTAAAAGCTGTGTATCTATTATGATAACAAAATAGCTACTTTTTTCATTGAAGCTGACACGGTGAATGGAAAGAAAATGGGAAATATGGATTCAGAAAGTTTGTGCCTCCCTCTTCATATGATCGCGACGTTCTTTTCAGTGGAAACTCAATACCCGTCAGAGAAAGCAACTACTGAAGTAAATATCACAAATAAGAATGCTACAAGAAGAGAAAAAACCACTTCCTTGTCAGTCTTTACCTGCAGAACAAAAGCCGAAATCAAGATGAAGGTTGAACTAGATTGTATTGTTTCCCTATATATTTCTTACTGTTCTTCTTCGAAAAAAACAAATAGATATCTTATTGTCATCAAAGTATAGTTAAAAAGAAAGGAATGTTGATAAGAGAAATTTTTGCGTAGCTGTCTCCCTTGCAAAACCATTTCGATCCACCTTCTCAATAAAGTTCTTACACTTATAGCTCGAGAAGAAAAACAGTTTAAAAGAAACTGAACGTGTCAAAAGCACTGAAATTTCGTCGTATACTTTCATAATCTAAAATTAAAATTTTCTACCTAAATAGTCTCGAAAGTATACGTAACTGTGTTCTTGGAAAGTGAAAATATTCTAGTTTCAAAAATTATTCGTACGACTGAAGAATCGACATTTTATATAGTAGTCGACAAAAGTAGCATCAACTATTTGTGTTCATAGTTTCATCGTAAATAGAACTCAGTGAGTCTTGATTGTAAACAAATAGCTTGATCTCAATCGGTTGATTTGTATTGAACTTATCAGCTCAGCAGTACACTCTAAAACAAAGATACTCTGCGAAACTTCCAAAGAATCTTCCGACGGGCACACAGGAACATCATTTTAGATTCGGTAAAAATAATTTTATACCACACAAAGACATAAACGTTCACAAAGAAAGACAATGCTTCATTTTCAGCGACTGAATCATCAGAAACAGTGAAGCATACTAATTCATTTAACTATACTCTATTCAACTTACTTCTTACTTCAAGTACTCTCATGAGTCGACAACCATAACCTACATAAGTTCATTTATTTGCATTTCCAAAAATACATCTTTATCAGCATTTTTCAGGTAAAAATACAAAATAACTACCATAGCTACGCAGAACCTTCTCTTAAATAATTTCATCATATAAATTACAATACTAGTACCTCATGCACTATTCTTCTATAATAGAAAAATGACTTATTCGTCTTGTTATGTTTTATCTAACTAACTATATATGAGATTCTTGATAATGCAATCGACCTGAATTTTAAAAAAAAATTATTTAGCGATATTGGTATACTTTATCTTCATAATAATACTAGACAGTGTTGATATCTAAATCTATCTAACAAACAGGGGTACATTCTATAAGGGTGTGGCTTGTTATGTTCCGATACGAACTGTCTTTTACATGATACCAACATCCACACACAAATTGGATGTATTTTTGTTCTCGCGAGGTTTTTAGAACATTCTTTATCCGCAAAGTATGCCACAAATGAATAATCACAAGAAATATTTCACTAATATATTACTTTAATGGCATTGATCATAAAAAAATCTTGACTAACAGTTGTAAAGATCACTTTACATAGAAATATTTTTTCTTTCTATAGAGAAATACTATGTAGTTTTCTTAGAAGTACAGCGAGGTCACATTTCAAGAGAAAGACAAATATGAAACACAGGAGCAGTGCGACCGAAAGAAGATATCCTCTTGTGTTTTACAAAGTTGTGCTAGAGGTTTCTCTGGTTTTGTGGTCTGAAAGAACTTCGAGTGTATTTTTCAAGATGCCTTGTTCCATTTTTAACCTCGTAGCGACCTCGATTAGTGTAACGTGTCTTGATCAAACGTTGTTCTCTTTTCAAGATTCTATTGATCATTTTGAAAAATTCATGAAGATACTTCAATAGCATTAAACACCACCACACAATATAATATTCTGGTTCCAATACAAATTAAAAATGAAGAAAAAGAATCACAGTTGAATGTCACTTGTTCATAAGCTGAAATGTTTCATTCTATTGTTGTTAGTGACCGTTAGCAAGCGTGAATTTTTTATTTTTCGACCGTCATCTAATTTTCATTATATTCTTTTTCTTCATTATCATTATCAATATTGTCTTCTGTGTCAATTGATAATATGTCGATAAATGTAATAATTCATTTTCATTTTTATCAATGGTCGAAGTAATTCTATCACTTGAATCATCATTAAAACTGTTGCAGTTATCAAAATTTGAATCTTTATCATCAAAAACCAATGCACAAATGTTGTACCTCTATATTTTATATATATCCAGTAAATGTATATCATCACTTATATGAATCATGTTTAACATTGATTGTGCTCTCCTCCTCGCACCCTTTTTAGCTCTCTCTTTTTCTTTAATTTCTATTTCAGTTGACAGAGGATTTTTTTTTCTTCTATTCTTTTTTAAGCTTTATTCTTCAATCAACACGATTCAACAATATTTTAACGAAAGAAAACTTGAAAAGACTTAAGAGAAGGATTTTTTCACAAGACTCAGATTTTCTATTATTGAAAAATACCCTTTATTTCGTAAGCGAAAGTTTTTAGATTTTTTTTCTACTCTATATATGATTCGAGATATCCATTCTATCTATTAAATCTATTTCAAATCTTAATGTATAACAATAAAAACTGTAAAATATGAATCATATTCGTTGAAATATATCAGAATTGAAACATTATTTCATTATTTTTTCGCAATGAATTTTTTGACAATACAAAAGTGAAATATCAACTTCATTCCTCATCTATAACACATCTGATCGAACTGCAACTTTCTTCCATTCATACTAGAAAGTATTCATAGTGTCTAGCATATATTTTGTTTTAAAATACGATTTATGGCTAACTTTTGTTAGGGTTGACTAAAAAAAGCTCAATTTAAAAAATAGCATATATATTTGAGAGTGCTCTCGTATAGGATTTTTATGTTTTTATTCGAACTAGAGGAGACCAGTTTGTTCACATAAAAACATTCGGAAACGTTTAAAATTTGCTGATGAACTATTCACTAACAGTGCTATCAAGGAAAGAAAGTTTTCCCTCGAATATATAGACTTATCATCAAATATAAGTAATAAAGTATCAAATTTTTTTTCATAGAGTTACATCGATCAAACTTTAATAGATGTATTTTATTATTTGAGGAATGTTTCGAGTATAAAAAATCTTTCTTATGAGAGAAAAAAAAACATGTTTTATGAAATATTTTGATGTCGCTATATGAAATACACGACACGTTCAATAATTTCTAATTAGTTTTCTAAAATACTTTCTACTATTATCTGTACATGCATTTATAGACGATCATCTATCAATTGAATTTTTCTATTTTCTCGACAAATGATTTCATCAATAATAACATAAAACAATCAATCATTCTATCAGTAGAATTATATAAACAAAATTATATTGTATTTTTTTCTTTATTAGAATAGAATATTATCAATTCAATATTTTCTTAAAGAAAAAAATAATTTCGAATAGAAATAAACAATTAATAATTTATAAACTTGAAAGAAAAATACTGACAATAAATATATGATACTTATTTTCATCATGATTAATAATGCTTTATAAAATATTGTCATTATTTGAATAGAACTAATAAAGCCAATCATTTGAGAATAAATAAATACAAAAGTATTACTCTTTCTTTCATTTTTAAACTAACCAAAAAAAAAAAAGGACAAATTTGATAACAAACATTTTTATTGTGCAGTACTAATAACAATACCGTTCGTATTATTTCAATTGATAAAATATCAAGTTTCTGATTGCTACTAAGTCTTATTCATCTTTTTTTTTTTCTTCATCATTTCATCATGAAAGCAAATCTATTTTGTCTAATATTTCTTATATTCTGTAATGGTAGGCCTTCAAATTTTAGAATCAAATAACAAAAATTTTTATTGTATTTTTATAAGAAATTCATCGTCTCATTGCATTAGAATGTTATTCATGTTTAAGTATAAAATCAAACACAACTGGTTGTCACGACAAATTTTATTATAATGAAACATTGATTTCAACTACCGATCTTCGAAATTCAGATGCTATTTGTACAGTATGTATTTAATTGTATTTGATTTGAAAAAAATAAAATAAACTATTCTAAAATTAAATTTTTAATTACAGAAAATGATTGGTAAACTTGCTGATGGTACTAAATTTACTTTTCGAAATGCAAGTTCTATTGGTTGTCCAAAAGATCTAGAAAATTTTATTATCGTTGGTAATGATAATCATCTTCGAATTTCTCGTCTTGAAATTTATTGTTGTAACAAAAAATTATGCAATAGAACTACTGGTACATATTATATACAATCGAATATGCTTATTTTAATTGTCTTGATAATTAATTCAATGTGTCATTTTCATGAGTTTTTTGTATAAGTGAACAGACAATTGAACATTCAATGCGCATATTTATCTATTGAAAAGAAAAAAAAAACACTTTTCATCGTATTTTGAGACTTAATAAGCATCTCTATTTGATTATTTAAAGCAAAAATTATGTTTTAACATATTTATTATAACATTTCATTGTTTGAAATTTTCTTTTCTATATTCACTTTAATTCTAGCAGTAAATATTTTTATTTGGAATATTTTCGCAACAAAAAAAAAAAAAACAATAATTTTTTTTTCTTCAAAGATCAAATTTAAGCGTAAAAATCAAAAAGTTTAACACTTAGATTTTTATAATTTTAATCATTATTACAATTTAAAGTTGATAAGATTTATTCAAAAGAATAAATGAAATAAAATCACAAATATCTGAATCAATTATCTTTGTATATATGTTAGTCGTTGAATGTCTTATAATTTGTTTATCTTAATAACAAACAAAGTTAACGATCATTGAAAGATACTCCTTCTCTCTCTTTCTGGAGAATTTCTTATTAGAAATTTTTTGAAATCTTCAGAATAGATCGATCTTGAAGTGTAGAGCAAAAGTTATCCTAGACTCAAAGTTTTCAAATATTACCTTCTATGATATATTGGATTCACAATTGGACAAAGTGAACCATCATTTCGTCTTCTATTTTTCTGAAAAGACCACACTCGATCAAGTTCAAAATGTTTTCACTCATATTTACACTATTTTTCAATAAAATAGCTAAAAATACTAGACTTTCCATTATAAAAAAAAAAACCGCTTGTTTCTTTTTCACTAGCACAAGATTTATAAATTCTCTTATTCTTTAGTATATGATTTGATAGAACTTGACTAACTGGTAACGAGTTTATAGTTTTTTTTTCGATCTAAATATTATGTCTCTCAAAAACAAATCGTGAAAAACTTGAATGACTATTTTGTTATTTATTTATAGAAATTTCTTTAATTTCAATTCAATTATTGTGTCATACTTGATGAAAATATTTTATTCTGATGATGCATCTTGACATGCTATTGTAACATAATCATATGCTAAAATAGTCCATGTTTTCGATTTGCAATCACACTATGACTCATAATTGCGACACAGTTACGCGAAAATTGCGTCGTTGTAGCTAAAAAATAGGTGACATTGGGAGAAACCTACAAGCAGATTACATAAAAAAGAGAGAATATTTTGAAAAAAAAAAACTAACAAGTTTTTTTTTTTTAAATGAAAAGCATCAAAAATTATTCTTTTCGAGATTAAAATTGGTTTTTTGCAGATCGATAGAGGACACTTGAAAGCGTAGGTATATCAATGAAAAAAAAAAACAATTGAAAATATTTTTATTATCATATCCGGATAGTAGGATAGAGGTAACTTTAAATAAAAATTCAATTGTCCTTTATTGTTAATTGAAATTAAATTTAATAAACAATAAAATTCGTTGATAACAAATGAATCATTATTTACTCTTTTATTTAAATATAGTGTAACTTTTTTTTTCTTTCATATAATTTAGTTAGACAATATCATCAATGAGTTTCTTTCAACGTTTATTTGGTAACTCAAATAAAGAAGATCCAAATAAAATAACAACACATGGAGCTATTCAAAAGTTATCCGATGTTGAAGAAACTCTTAATAAAAAACAACAATATTTAGAATCTCAAATTGAGATTGAAAAAGCTAATGCATTACTTAATTCAAAACAAGGAAATAAACGTGCAGCTTTAATGGCTATGAAACAAAAAAAAAAACATGAAAAAGCTTTAATTCAAATAGATGGAACTTTAACAACATTAGAAATTCAACGAGAAACATTACAAAATGCATCTAGTACTATGGAAATTTTACAAGCTATGAAACAAGGAGCTAATGCTTTAGAAAAAGCTAATCAACATTTAAATCCTGATGATATTGAGAAGTTAAAAGATAAAATAGCTGAAGAACTATATATTGGTAAAAATTTATTTTCTTAAAAATAAAATTTGTTTAATTGTTTTATTTTTTTATTTTTAGCTGAAGGCATTGCCACTGCAATATCAACACCACCATCAGGAACTTCAGATTTATATAATGATGCTGATTTAGAAAGAGAATTAAACGAATTAGCTGAACAAGATACCACGGATACTTATTCATTACCAAATGTACCCATAACAAATGAAGTTCCATCAAAAAGTGAATCAGTACGAAAACCTGAACCATTAGTTTCATCGTGATAATTTGTTTTTTATTGATGATATTTAAGAAAATTTAAATAAATTTTTTTATTATTTTGAATAAATTTATTATTTTTGAAAAATATTATAGTGTTGAAACAGCATAAACAGATAAGGTTGTTTTTATCTTTCGAAAAAAATGTGATCTTTACAAATAACGACGTATATCAAGAAATTTATCTATTAGAAACAAAAAAAAGATCTTTTTATTTTAACATAACTTATTTTATTCGAGATTGTTTAATTTCTTTGAAAAAAAAATTTTTTTTTTTGTTATAATGAAGTAATCTATAAAATTTCAAGTCATATTTGAAGTTAGAAAAAGATTAATTATGCAATATAAAATCATATGACGGAAGTATTACATTAGTAGTTTTAGAAAATATGAATAATTCTTACGAATAGATGAACGAATCGTTTCAAGAAATTTCCTTTGCTCTATTGAATAATAGATGTAGGTTCAAACTGCTTGCAACTTAATTGAGCCTACCTTAGAAACTTATTAATAGTAATAATTATAGAATAATTTTCTGTCCAATTAAACAGTTCTGTAAACACAAGGATGACTCTCACAGCAATGTTAGTGTCACAAGTTATTCATAGAAGACGTATTTTTCACATGAAGTTTTATGAATCATTGTATTTTAAACGTTCTCATATTGTCCATATAAAAGCAAGAGAAAGATTGGATAGATGGATGAGGATGTTACTGAAGAGAAGACTTACATCCACACTCTCTATTTAATTTACATCGTCAAAGTTGCCAAGCAACGAGTTAATATGCTATGAACAGATATTCATTCATGCCATAGAATAGCAATATTGTATAACATGGTTATCCGATACAAAGATGTACCATCATTCATGGTCATGTACTAGTTGAGTTGTTGGATGTTGTGTGCATATCGTTTCAATCTAGTTGTATATCTTCCTTACCTATCGTGATTTTACATTTTTATACCCGCGTTTATCTTCTTATGTGTCGATCAAGTATCATATCTGCAGCAATGACAACTATGCCAACACGCTCTATCTCATTGCATGATTCATGCAACATATTGTCACTTGCACTTTCTTCAATTTCTTATGATGTCAAATTTTATGTTTGACGATTTGAATTGTTTTGATACGCAAATAATCATATAAGATGCATCATCGTTATTCTTGCCAACAATTAACAGACTCATGAAATTCATTGTTTCTCAATAATAATAATAATAAGTGTTTATAGCAGTTTTAAAATTCATTCTTTAATTATTTATGAATTGATTTATTGAAAGTTCGTCAACTTACTCGACTTTGTCAAAACCATATGAAAAAACTTTAATATCAGATACATATATATGTATATAGAATTCATTTAGTGCTTCTGTTTACCACTGGTAACTAGAACAGTTTATTATTCATAGCTGCACGCTGAGACTTTCCTATTCTCATGTAATATTCACAAAGTTTTGTTTTCATTTTAGATCTTTCTATTTTCCATTAATAAAAATAAGAATAAACCAAAAGTTTTATTTACGATTGGTTACTTTGTCACAACGTGATGTACAGTAACTTTTCAAATCCTTCAATATTATTTTTTCGTCGATCGTGTTAGAGTTCTAATTCATATTGAGGTAGCGCAGATTTTTTTTGTTTTTACATTTAGTAATTCTACTTATTTATTGTTATTTGAGTTAGTTTCATTAGCTGAGGTTTTCTTCAGTCGATGATTTTTATTTCTTCTATATGATTAGCAGTCAACTCTAATGTATTCACTAAAGAAAATCAAAAATTGAAATACTAGTTGAAAGAATATTGAATTTTTTTTTTTGAAGTTAAAAAAATTGAAAATGGATTTAAATCTATATAAGATAATCAATGAAAAACATTTCGAGACAAGCATCATCAATTTATTAATGAATAATTTTCAGACACCAATGGTAATTCGCCATTTGTTAAAATCTAATATTTCTAAGAACTTTTTGTTTTTTTAAATACTGTATGAAAAGTATTTTTATTATAATTTCCACAGTAATATATTCTAAAAAGTGTAATTTAATATAAGATGGCGCTATATGTTGAATATTGATATATTTTTATGGTTGTTTCGTATTGGTGAAGATATTTACCCATTGAAATGTGCCATTATTTTATTTCTAAAGCAAACGTTTGATTTGTATTTTTTCTAATTATTTCCCGTTTTCAACAATTAAACAAAATGCACGCACATTTTGCACAACCTTTTCAAGTTTGTTTCTTTTTTTTTCTTCATCTTATTATATTTTTTTATTATTCTTATTTAAAAAAAAAACATTAGGCAGCTGTAGCAGCAGCAATGGCATTATCGAATACATCATCAGCTTCCTCAACATGTGAAAGTCATATTTTAACACCAGTTCATCATACAGGAACAAAAAGTGAATGGATGGAAGCTATTGAACAACAACATTTAGAAAGATCAACATTAAATCGATTGATTATTAATTATCTTATTACAGGTAAAAATAAATAAAAAAAAAAAAAATTTTTTTTTCTTTTGAAAAATAAAATTTTTTTTTTAGAAGGATTTAAAGAAGCAGCTGAAATATTTTCAGAAGAAGCTGGAATATCATTAAATAATGTTGATTTAACATTAGTTGAAGAACGTTTAAGAATTCGTGAAGCAATTGAAAATGGAAAAATTCAAGATGCAATATCATTAATTAATAAAAAAGCACCTGAATTACTTGATCAAAATAAAGAATTAGCATTTCATTTAAAGGTAATTTAACATGCTCAATATATCGTTTTTCTTTTTCGAATAATTTACTCATTTTTGAAATATTACAAAAATAGTTTTTCAACTATGAGTAAAATTTATTCGATTTGTTGATATTTATTATCCTTAAGAATAAAAATTCCAATAAGATGTAATAGAAACTATAACAACATTGAAACTAAATTCAAAAACAATTGATCAATTGAAAACGTTCCTTTGTAGAATAATTTTATTATGAAATAATTTAAATTGATTATTTATTTTTCTTTTTTTTTAAGCAACAAAATTTAATTGAATTAATTCGTTTAAATTTAATTGATGAAGCTTTAACATATGCACAAGTTCATTTAGCTGAATTTGCTGAAGATGAAATTAAAATGCGACAAGAATTAGAAAAAACAATGGCATTATTAGTTTTTGATAAACCATTAGAATCTCCATATGGTTATCTAATGGAAATATCACATCGACAAATAATTGCTAATCAAATAAATAATGCATTACTTATTTATCAAAATCAACAATCAGAATCAGATTTATCAATGCTTGTGAAAATGGTTAATTATATGGAAGATAAATTAGATAAGAAATCTTTACGATATCCAAAATTACTCGATATAGCGACAGGAAAATTAGAAGATTCATAACTATTGTCATTTCTTTTTTTTTTTTTCATGTATATGTTATTTTTTATCAGTGTTTCAAAGAAACAGTAACCAAGATAGTTATTTCAGGAATAACAACAACAAAAAAAAAACTATCATATTTGTTTCATATAGATTTTATCTCTATTCTTATATGAAACATATAAAATACTTCATAAAAATAAAGATATTTAACTGCAAATGATTTTCAGGTTAAATTTATTTTGTCTATCAAACACATAAATGAGTGAATATATCAAGTTGGAAATAATAGTTTTTTTTTGTAAGGGAGTACATAATCGAAATAGAATTGATATCAACATTGGATTTATTATTAAATTTTAAGAGTATAATTAACATTTCATAGAATGATTATTAGTTAGAAAATAACGGTAAGTTCCAAAATTGCAGATTTATAATGAAGAATAGTTAATTATGAACGACAAATACTAAGTAAAATGTATAATCGATCGAAAACTCTTGATTTTTGTTGAGCACACGGTTCAGTTTAAAGTTTAGATTAAAATCTGTGTAAATTACATTTGAACTGATTATAATTAAGTATAAAAATTGGTTTGAACTAGACTAAGATTTTGATTTTTTTTTTTGAACATGATATACCAATTGATATATTACAAGAGAAACGTTTTATGTGATAAAAAGCTTTTGAGATGAAACTTTCTTTATTAAATAGAATCTATCGAGACTAGACAATCTAAAGAATTAATTGTTTCATTGAGGTTTTCTTCTTCAATTGTATACAATTTATTAAACTTTGATCGATATCAAGATATATCATAAACATTCTAATGTTGAAGTTTTATTTGAACTTATCACATGAAACGATTTCCTTATCAGTCAAGTGTTCAATATAACTAATTTTATAACACTATTATTATCGCATCAAAACATAACACATTCTAGACAAGTTTGGTTGCAGGAGAAATGGAGTGTCAAATGCATAATAATATTTGTGTACACATCCACACTCAATTTCGATGATGCCGAAGACACAATTCGTTTTCTATGAGTTTCGATATTTCATTATGAACAACACTTTTTGTACGAGAGTTGAATTTAAGAGAACATAAAAGAATTCTCTGTGAGCTACAACATAATATCGCAAAAAAAAATTCTAACTTATATATCCTCTATAACAGAGTGTTTAAAATATAGTCTGAAAAACTTTAAAGCTAGAATCTGATCAAACAACACTTTGCGACAAATTTGTAAGGATGTACAATGACATTGTATTTAAATATATATTTTTTCAAGCAGAAATTGAAAACATAACTTAGCAGGAAGGAATGTTATAACAAATTTATTTCGCGAAGTAAAAATGTCTTATATGTAAGATGTAGGAGTATTTAAAGTTTAAGACAGATTTTTGTAAATTTACTTGTTATGTGATTGAATATTTCGTCGAATATGAACATAAATATCCTAAATTGAGAATGTTTCATTTTCTCAAGAGTTTTTATTTAGTATCAGTTATTACTATTAATCTTCATTCAAGGCTTTCCAAAGTTTTTCAAATCGAGAAAATCGACCATTGTTGAGGAAATCTATATCGTGGGTTTAAAAATAATTGTGATTAGAAAGGCTTACAGAAAACTTTAAACATCCTTTCATGATATCAGATCGCCACGTCGTAATGTATAGTAATCAAATAAAGTTCCTTACCGTATGATATTCATGCAGCAAACAACATACACTTTTATAAGTGTACAATGATAAACATGTAAAATACTTCAAAATAGAACGATGATCGTACAGAATATGAAATTATTTATTATACGAAATTCTTCAAAGAACTTTTTTTGTGACATCAATGATCAACACACTATTTCTACATCACTAGTTTCAAGTATGAAATGTGAAAAGATAGGATGAAATAGTTGATTAAATTCCGTTAGAGTGCAATTATTTGGAATATCAAATGTGCCTGGTGGAGGAGGACCAAATGTAAAGTTAGAAAAATGAATATTAACACCAATAGTTGGTAAATTTAAATCGACTGGTATATTTCCTTTGACTGTTGCATAATAATCAAATGGTGCTGGAGGAATCTACATAAAAAATAAATTAAAAACAAGTGTCATATAGTCAGTATTCTGCAAAAGTAATGATACCACTGCAATTCAAGAAACATAATAGTGACAGAGTTCTAAGTTTACATGTTCATGGATCTCGCCGAATTCTGAACATTCTATCTGTATCCATCTCTTTTATTGAATGACGAGTGAGATTTAAGTGTCTATTGTTCTTTCATAAAATGCTGATATATTTTTTATTCACAGTTGACGAACATCATAGTTCTATTGTATTAAAATACAATGTTGCTTCTTCTTTATCTACCAAGTAACTGTCATGAATTGACTGTCAATATTTACTAACAAACAACTACAGTAGATATTTTACAATCGAGACCTATTTTATGGTTATTATGCATCATAATCATGCAAAGATTTAATTTCTAAAGATTGAAATAATAAAAAAAGAACAGCGAGTAAAACATAGTTTCGAAGCTTCACATTCAAACTTTCTATTTTCAATAAAATTGTTATGAATGAGTGAAAGTGATAGCTATATTTGAAAGTTTCAGTTTTTGGTTACGGAGCATTGCAACAAGAAGTAAACTATTAATTTAGGATGAAAAAAAGTAAATTTAAATATGAAACTTTGTAACTATGTTTAATTGCTGTTTTTCTTTATTACATTTTTCAGTGATTATATTTTTCCATGATTATAATGATCAATAATCATAATAGATATGGCAGAAACAGTAATTTTCAGCTGCTCGCCTTTCCCAATCTACTTATAATTCAATAATGGATGTTCGTTCGCAATATTTATCTTCGGAATCAAACAATAGTAAAATAGGTAGTTGTTCTTCAGTAAATATTAACATTCAATTCATAAAATTCATTTGGTAGAAAAACAAAAATTAATGCTTTGTTTTAGTAAAACAAAACTATTTTCATCTCATCTTCAACTTTTCGTAAGACCTATGGATACCTAAAAGATTAGAAGTCCGTTAATATTGTGGTTCTTGAGTCATAGTGGTATTGCTACCTTTGACAAGCATATCGAGTTCTAAGATGTTTTATTTATTACTTCATAATTATGACAGCCACTCCAATTATTGCATAATGTATGATTGTATGTTAGATTTCCATTATAATCGTAAGTTGAAAATGCTAACAAAGGTGTTATTTTTCCTGGAATTTGAGCCCATGAACACCTTTCTTGACAAAAAAGAAGATTATGTTTTGTATTAAAGGTAGATTAATTGAAAAAAAAATGAATAATACCTTTTAATATTACATATTGTCGATAATTTTTAAAATCTATGATTGCGATCTGATTCCCGTTAAATTCGTCTACTCTATCCCTATAAACAGTTGTATCTGCATAATACATTGCAGGTTGTCCATTTAATATAATTGATGTTGTATACTAATAATGGTAGATTATTCTTGATATTTGATTCTATTGACAAAATTAAATTACATACTTGACTAGGTTGAGGTGGAACAGGATGTGGATCTCGAGAAGTCGAACGAACTTTTCTACTACTATTTATAGCATGAAAAAATGTAATAAATAAAGCTAAAAATAATATGATGTGATTTTTCATTCTCATGTGAATCTTTGATTATGCGCACAAATGCTTAATATTAACGTCTATAACAAAAAAAAGGGTACGTTCATGTAAAATATATTATCTTAACATTGACTTCATTCACAACCATTGAGAATTTAAGTAACTATAGACGTTCGAAAATGCAGAATTTTGACGAAAATCTGCTGGTCTTTAACTATCTGTGAATGTTAAAAAATTATCATTTTGTTTTACAATGAATTTTTTTAATATGTCGTCGAAATAGAGCAAAAATTCCTTGATCTCAAGGATGGCCAAAAAAACGAGTACCTTAAACTATTTCTGTGCTTCTAACAAAATAATCTGTATTTAAAGATTCGTGATAGGCGCCATTATTTGTCATCAATAGATAAGATATTCTTTTCATCTATGCTTGTAAAGTTGCACAAAAGGCGTTTACATTGCAGTTTCTTATCGTCATAATATTTTGTCTTCGATGCTTAGTCATGTTTTGTCATCAACTGACATTATTTTAAAGGTAGACTTTGATTGTCATTTGCTGTAGACATAACAGAACGTCATGAAGAAAGATCTATTTGGTTAAATAGTAATTGAGATGTATGTAGCCCTTGATACTTTTGGATGCTTGTGAAAAGTTTTTCTAGGATAAAAAACGGAAAATGATTGTATGAAGTGAAACAAACAAAAAAGAAGCGCTTTTCATTTTCTATAGAAAGATTGTGGGAGGATCAGCTTTTTCTTCAATCAACTGCGAAAACATATTAAGATAATACATTTTTGAAAGAAAAAACAAAATTCAGTCTTTGCTTTTTTTTATTCGAAACGAACTTCGTAGGAAATGGCGGATTGTAATTGAAAGGAAACTCAGAATTGCAATTTCATCTGAGAACTTCATCATGAAAAGTGAGGTACAATTTAACTAGCTATACAGCAGGACAACATCACCATGCTTCGTCTGTATTAACCTAATAACATCAATTGATGTGCCATTTTCATTGGCGAAATTCAGTCCAAAAATACCAATGAGACGCACCGTATGAGGATTTCCTATAGTATCAAGATTATTTCAAATTAACTTGCTTGTCACGAAAGCAATGTAGCCGTGAATGAAAATAGTACGAGATATAAAAGGAAGAGTTCCATAAATCAAATATCATCTATGACACTGGGTAGAACATTCATTCAAAGAATTATGATTGTCTTAGTGACTTCTACAAAGATTATATGATGTCAACATTCTACTAAAGTGACAGAATTATGTTATCAGATAATGAATAACGAAAAACTTGCGTAGGTCCATCACAAGAGTTTCAACAAAAAACTATTTAAGTCTACAGAAAACATGATGGACCATAGTTTGATCAAGTGGCATGAAAAAGATCGGAGGTCACAATAGATCATACCACGACACTCATAATATCTAGATCGAAATATTTTTTTGGTTATGGATATGTGTCAGTAACGGGAGAGAGAAGAACCACGAGTGTCTAAAACCATAATCACAGTCACACTGTTTATCATGTTCCCATGATTAACTATTCAACATAAGCTCGTTCGAATGGTACCCTCTGTGTACGTATTTTATATACGATCATCATATTAAAGCTCTATTGTTTCCTTGAACGGTCGTTCATGTTCTTGTTTATTTTATATGAACATGAAAAATTAATAAGTATCAGTAAAAAAGAAAGATTCAAATAGAGTCGATTTTATTGCATTCATGTGACAGAACACATATGCCCACTTCAAAAATTTCCGTACGAGAGAAAGGGTTATCGAAACCTACTTTTTTGAATTTATTGAATCTTTTTTTAAGTTCTGGAAACGTTTTTTATATCATATATTATAGAAACATAAGGTCTTTTATAAGATTTCTATAAATACATCTCAACATAGACCGATTTTTGTTGGATTAATTTTCAGTTCTGTAGGCTTGCTCTTTAAACATTATTATATCAGAGAACTTGTCATACAAACTCCTAAACATCAAATAATTCATCAAATGATCATTTTTCTGCCAGCATATCTATTGTATATATATATATATCGGTATGCTTCCGCACCTAACTTCCTAACATGAATCGATTCCTTTTCCAGAGAATACATTTTAGACATAGCAGAGTTGATTTATATCGACAATTACAATTTTAATTTTTTATACAAATAACTAATAACATTGAATGACTCAGTGATTAGAGAAATGGCTTCTTCATTCATACACCTAAGGTTTCAATCTTTATTCGTTGCACTCTTTCTTGGTTACTCAGGACTTCTTTTTAATTAATATATCATAAATTCTGCAACATAATACTGAATAATTATGTTTTACTGGACCTATTTCGAAAATATCATTCTTTCAACAGATTTAGTATACAAAACATCCACATCTTTAAATCCTCATAAATTCAGAAATATTCACAGATACTAGAATTTATTGAAAAAGTTGCAAAAAATCCCGAAACAAAAATAAATATCAGAATTCATTAAAGGTTTCCAGTAAATTCTGAAACAAAAGTCCTTAAAACTGCTGTACGAGAGACCATCTCTCTTTCATTTCTCTGACTTTGAATCGATAACTTGATAACACAGACTTTTTCGATATTTATCCTCAATTATTGATATCCTTTCGGTAGCCAATAGTGAATGTAACAAAGATACATTCAAATTGATACTACTCTGTTTCAAGAAATCGTTTGATTTTTCTACTACAAAAATTTTATTTTCATATTATAGAAATGGTGACAATTATTGTCATTCTTCGTTTTGTTTCGATTGTTAGACGTTTATGCAAAAGAAATTCTCAATAAAAAGTATTCAATCCCCCCAACTGTAATTTGATTACATCACTAATTAATTATAAAATAATTGAAATAATGTTCATAATAAGAATTTTGTACGGATTCACAGCATATAACGAACATCAGGATGCTAAAATGGATTGAAGATTCAAGATTAAATTATAATGCAGAGTTCTCAACTTACCCAATCACAAGGCTCTTTTATCTTTGTTTCTTGTTCACGTTCAGCTTCACTGAGATGGTCTCGTCGGTTATTTTCTTTGTTTAAAAGGAATCGAAGCACCAGAGTAACCATCAATGTAATGAACGTGATTATTGCACAAATTATATGACCTTGACGAAATTCACTCTAGTAGTCAAAATATAAAAATAAAACGATGTTTGTATGTGTTCTTAAGCGTTTGAAAAGTCACATTTAAGGTAGATAAATGGAGTTTTTTTTCTAATTTTGCGATTTCTAAACATCATTTTCATTGTACGTTTTTCGTTTTTATGAACCAGGAATATCTATCTTTGTTAAATTTAGCTTTTCAAATATGTTAGATTTTTACCTGGTCTACTATGAGTTCTTTGTGTTCAACATCATAGATCTTAAAAAAAAGAAGAATACATTATCACGACTAAAGTCATTTAGTAATTTCTGTGATGTTTTGAAAAATTACTCACCACCGGTGCTAATATTCCACCTAGTTTACCAAAACCTGTCATAAAACCCACAGCCAAAGCCCTTTTCGTATGACCGCCGACATTGATTGTAAGCCAAGATAACAGAATGGGAAAAGCTGCGAATGTTCCACAACAAGCTATAATTATACTTATAAACATGGCTTCTTTGTATTGTTCTCCCCAATATGCCATGAGTAAAAAACCAATTGTCGAGATAGCCAATGAAACAGCAAGATGATAGCCATGCTCATTCTTCCGCGATGATGAGAAGCCGACTATTAGAACACAAATGCAAGCCATTATATATGGTGGAGCAGGCAACAAATGTGCATGTTCCTCCTTCGAGGCCATGATTAGAGCGAAACTTGGAAAGTATACAGTCCAACATCTGATCACACCGAGATTTCCAATTGATATTATAGTATAGAGATAAATTCGCCAATCGACAAAAACATGACGAATTTGACACCACGATAATCGATTATGTGATTCTGGCTCACCGTCGGCCACACCGGCATCTTCACGCAAAATATTTGAAAGAATCTGCTTCTCACAAGGAGTTAACCCTAGAATAAGGTTCGACTTAAACAAAAAAATAACAGTCATTGATTTCAAAAATCTTACATCGGACAGTTTCGGGAATATTTGCTAAAAAACAATAAGTGATGAGTCCAAGAGGAATGATAGGAAGACCTTCTAAGAGGAATATCCAGCTCCAGCCAGATCGACCATTAATTCCGTTCAGTTTATTGATAAGATAGGCCTATTCATTAATAATAAAGAAAGAATATATATGTTCACTACAATATAATTGAAATGTTGGAAGTGAACGAAGCAAGTCATTTCAATAGAAAATCTCAGTTCATTGTGTGAGAAAGCATTTTTAATAACAGAAAAACTAGAGTTTTCCAATGTTTTGAGTGAGAATCCCTAAAGGTATTAATTTTTTTCTAACTGTCTCTTCAAAATGTAGTCGATGCCTTTTTATACAACTCTAGAGTGCAACTAACTATTAACCTTCGATTGCTACACATAGAGAAAACGATCAAAACACAACAAATCCATGCTTGTTCGAATATTCATGTTAGCCAATAATCGGTCAATTTTTTGTGACATCTCACGCATGAATTATCTTATTGACACTATTTTTCTCGAAGATGATGAATTCAATGAATGTAGCTTCATTATTTTATCTTCTATTTCTATCGTATCGAGAACATATCTAGCATGCATGCATGTTTTCCACTATCCTAAATCCTGTATTAAATTTAAATGAATTGCTATTGATTATTATAGAAATATTCATGTTCGATCAAACTTTCTCAATTCATAAAAAATTCTATTTTACTGGATTCTTTGAAACAATAAAAATTTAGAGTTGAATTGTTATTTTCAATTACGAAGAATAATGCAATACTGAAATAGTTTTAGTTATAGCGATCAAAGAAACCTATTTAAAAATTTCTGAAAGATTCATTATCAACAAGTGGTTCATCATAACAATAAGAGGATGATAAACTTTTACATATGTGAATAATAACAGACAAGAGACATTATATTTGATGAAGCAGATGTATCAGATTATTCTGATAAAATACTCGAAGATGTAGTTCATAGTACCTGAATAAATTGTTCATGACGTACTACGAAGAACAAAAATATGTTCGATGACATCTTCATATTATAAATGTACTACTACAAACTAATATTGCCTGACACAATGACAGAGTCTAAGTTAATTGAACAGTTAGTTAAGGCTTGATATTTCGTCAAACTTCAATAACTGACTCAATATCTTAGAACGAAAAACTATCTCGAATTCGTGCTGTGATTTTCATTACGACGAAATCAATCAAATCGTGCTACTCGACATTGACATGAAGAAAGAGTGCTAAAATTTGGAGGAACAAAATCTCGTCTTATTGATATAATATAAAATTAATCGATTCAACTTTCGAAATCTTTCATGGTGATGTAAATAAGAGTTAGTTCTTGAAAAAACTAATCTCTATTGTACTAGAGCTGATCGATTTTTTTGTCACAAAAGTATTAGTGTATATGTTGGGTTCACTGAAAAATTTTCATTACCGAAAATATTTATTTATTTCTCACAAAAAAAACATGGCATATACATCATTTGTCAAGATTTCTTGAAACTAATAGAAAGGTCATCCGTTGAAATAAATCGACTCGAACAACAATAACGTTGAGAGTCTTACCTAACCTAAATCTAGTGTTGATTGCTTCATCCATACATGTAAAATTCAGTTTTGTGTTTTACACTTTGATAACATTTTCAGCTAACTCTTTTACCAAAATTCTAAGTTTTATAGTGATTTCATACTATGTTGTGATGCAATTTCACTATAGTGAAAATAGAAATTTTCTCTATCTTTGTATACTTTAATGTTTCCATTGCACTTCACTACTTAGGAAGAAAACAAGGATAAGTAAATTCATTTATATTTGTTATTTCAGGTTACTCTAATCAAATCACATTTCAAACATGCTTGTTTTTATATTTACCAGAACACTACCCACAGCACCTGCCACAGTTACTGCAAGAAAAAAAACTGTTATACGCATTGTTCGTTCGCGTTTGCGATACCATAACGATATGTAAATAATCATGCCAGGAAAGAAACCAGACTCAGCCATACCCTATCATAAAATATGGATTAACTTTGATCGATGATATTATGCAAGATTCTTACGAGAAAAAATCTCATTGGAAGGAATCCTTGAGCATTTTTAACAAAAGCCATTCCAACAGTGATTGATCCCCAACATATAAGACTCCATGAAAGGTATCTTGTCGGACCAAAAATCCGCAATATTATATTAGAAGGAATCTCAAATATGAACTAACAGACAAAAGAATGAAAAATGAATTATCATTCGTTATACTCACATAAGCAATGAAAAATAATGAAACAGCCCAACGTTCTTCTGTTGGAGATAGTTCGAGTCCTTTTCTTAGATCCATTATTTTGACATGCCCTGTTCGAAATAATCGAAAATATGTTGACTGATACAATAGAGTCACGTATACCTATACTAATTTGGTGAATATATGAACCGAATTCAAGCAGTGCCAGAAAAGGAATGAGTCGTAAGTCGAGTTTTCGAATAAGACATTGAACAGCTCGGACATGATGTCTTTGAATAATATCTTGTTCTAGAACAATTGAAGTGTCCATCGATTGTGAAGGAACTTGCTCATGACAAGGTTTACTATTGATTGCCATATAGTTGAGAATATGTAAATATTTTTCTTTCAAATAACTTTTGACAGTAACAAGACACATTGATACAATCAAATATCACGTCTAAGTCGACAAAAAATAACAAAGCAACTCGTTCCGGTAGGTTTTTTCCTAACAAAAATAATTGCGCATTTAAATTGATTGAGTTTGGATAAATATTGACTTAATAATGCAACGTGATAATCGTGCTCTTTACCTTTTCTATTTGATGATTTAAGCATTTTTCAAATATCGCACACTCTCTATTCACATTCATTCACTTACTGTTCGAATATGATGGTAATGCTTAAAGAAAGTCATTAGTATACGTTTACTGCAAAACGGAATAAGAACAAGATGATCAATTAACGAGTATGGTAAATTGAACATTGACCTTTTCTAATCCCAGTGAAAATAATCTATATGACTTAGGGTATTGTGGCAATGTTTAGTTGTGAATGATTTCATGAGGTAATCTTGTATCTGTTGTAGAAGCAATTTTCTCGTACGTAATACACGTGCTAATTTTATTCGAAATGTGCACATATATATAAATTGCGCTAGCATCTATCAGTATCTTTAACTATCATAGGCAATGCGATTGATGTGATGTTAAAACGCTTAGAATATACGCCATTGATATCGTTAAATCGTAATACACTATAGAAAAATAAGCCAAAAAAAGAGTGTAGTATGTTATGGGTGTCTATAAGTTCTAAAGAACAGTGCATTAACAATACCGAAATAATTTTTGTAAGTACAAAATAAATATTTTGGAGCTCAAATCAATATGAGTTTCGTGCTTTTGACGCGACTCAGGTATTAGTTGACATAAATTTATCAATATTTCTCTTTAACATGCAGCATTCTATTACATAAAAGGTTTGTTTCGATATTCATGGTTGCAGTCGTTGTACAAAGCGTATAGAAATATTTCAAAGAGCATACTCTCAAATGAGGAAGTGGTATGATATGCATACTTGTAAACCAACATAGATAGATATTAGTATATAATTTTAGCTAAATTTCATCTAGAAACTAGACAATAATAGGCACAACTTTAGTTTAGTGAAGACAAAAAAGAATTAGGTTACCTATTAAGCTTCGATGGTATCACGTTTAGTAGGATACACATTGTGAATTTAGGTTGAATGAAAAGAATATGTAAGAAATGCATTGTAGTAAACAATGTTCGACATTTATTTCTACTTATTCTAATAATCGAATAGTCTTTAGATAGCTAGGTACTGTTTATCGTTTTTCTTGCTAGAGTGCTACGTTGATGATTATTAAAATTTGTTTGTGATCGTCAAATGTAAATAATCGACATAATTATAAGATTTACATTTATAAAATTTCATTCCCAAAATTAAGTTATATAGTGTTCAGAACAAAAATAAATAAATAAAAACATTTTCAACATTTGAGATTTGGAAAATTATTTGGCGTATCAATGTAGATTGATTCGAAATCCTGTGGCACTCCATCCAGTTCAAAACAAAAAGTAAATGATTAAGAATGAATATCTTCAATGAGAACATAAATGAAGATCACAAAGTAATCAGGACTACATAAAAGATGGTCTTGAAAACCAATCTATGTTCTTTTAAAGATGTTAAATTACTTTGAACTATAAAAATAAGCATGAAAAAGTCTAGCTTTTATTTATTTCAGATATACAGTTATTGAATCGCAGTGCTAGACAATATTTGCAATTATCAATCATAGATCTAACTCTGTCAATCAGTTGTCCAACTTCGCTATTCACAACTAGTGTAAATCGCTTTTATGTAAGTGACACTGGAGAGTAGAAGCAGTATTAAATTTGCATGTCAACGAAAATTGATAAGGAATGTAAACAATCTTTTAAACCGATGTTGGTTAAAACGAAATATCAAATCGATTTACTTCATAAACGAAAATCTTATGATTTGACAATAGAGCAAAAGGTTTCTTTTCAATGCAAACTCCGTATTAACAATGATATTTATTTATCTGAATCAGAACATGAAAGGGCTCAACGGTGTCAAGAGAGACATAGTTTTCCTCTTGATCCAGATACACCTCAGAACACAAAGATCGATCTACACGATAATGGCTCTCCTTTCGTCACGGATTGGTTTCTATTCTTCACGAACGGTCAATTAAAATTGACATTTGATCGTATCTTCGATTCTTTAATCGATGGTATACAAAAAGAAGGTCAACTAAATTTCGAAACACGTTTAACTGAAATGATTAATTTTCTTCTTGAAATAAGAAACGAAAAGCCTAAGATGTCTAAAGACAAACGAATGAAAAACCTTCAGGAAGCTTGTGCTAAACTATACACAAAAGGAAGTTTTCTTTTCCATGTTGTTAATCGAGCCTTACGAGAGAATGACCGTAGTAAACTGGCTTCACTTGGTCCTTACTGTTATCTTGTTTATACTTATATTGGAAGTCAATTAACTGAATATTTTTCAATCCGACATAATCTTCGTCGACATATTAAGTCAACAGAGTCATCATTGATGATTGTCTATCGTGGTGATAGTGCAACAAATAAAAAAATAAACGAATATTGTCAAGCAGCTGGACAAAAAGATAAATACTTTAAATGGTTGATATTTGTATCGACTTCTCTTGATGAGAATGTGGCTAAAACATTTGCTCGCAATATCTTATATGAAATCGAGTTAGATCGCAACGCGACAAACGATCAATTTGTCCATTTGGAAAATGTATCGTATTACAGAGATGAAAGAGAAGTTCTCTTACGACCAGGTGTTCGTTTTCGTGTGAACCGAGTGAACCAAATGAAATCTGACGAGAAAATAAATTTTGTAAGAGTGTACATAACTATTATTCCATCATATATATCGAATTTGATATAAATACTGCTTGTATTTTTTTACCTTTATTCTGTAAATAATAAAATCATATCGAATTCATTAATTGAGGAGACTTAGTGAACGATGAAACTCTATTGATGATGAGAATGATTCCGAAAAATAATTCCACTATTCATGACATAATTATTCTACATGCTTGAAATATTGCATTCATAGTGACCGTGAAAAAAAAACGGTGGGGATATGCCTGGGTGTGAGTGTGAGAGTTAGAGGATGCATTGGTTTCAGCATACATCTACACTTACCTTAACATCCTTTTTTGAATTTTCTTTTTGTTTCTGATGATTTTTAGTTATTTTATGCACAGGATATTAGTTTGTTTCCTCGCAGATCGAAATAGAAAAAATAGTGCTTCGAAAACAAACAAAACGTTTTGATCAACTTGAAATACATTGGGTCTATTATGCTCAATCCTACACTCAGATTCATAGGCAGTGCAGAGCCTTATATTCGACAATCATACTCATATCTTCAAGCAGCTTTCGGTTATATGTCTTCTGAAGAGTTCTTTCGAAACGAATAATCGAAATTTTACACTAGTTTCATGATTGAGAATATTTTTCATTGCAACTTTTCCTTGTCGCTCTGCGTAGCAGTATGTGAAAATATTTGCTTTCTCAATATTATTGAAAATATCATGGTATTGATAACAATATCTGTTGATTTAATATCACACACCCATAATATTGACTTTTCTTTTTTATCCTTAAACCTGGAAAAGAACCGATGCTAACAGTCAATAAACCGCACTATTTTGGAATGGCTCATCCAACTTTTTCTTAGCAAATAGAAACAGCTAATCAAATTTCTTGCCTCAAAATACCTTACCAACGGGAAAAAGAATAAAAAGAAAGAATCTGCATCAAACTTAATTTATGAGAGAAAACGAATGCTTCATATTATCTCCAGTAAAATACACACACAGTTACTCTCATTACCTCGTATTATCAAACAAGAAATTTAAAAATTGAAACCACAGATGGATCTCGTTTTGCAAGAACAGAGTGTGGAGGAATGAATGTTTCAGGATATTTTACAACTTATTGAAAATAACTACAGACTTAAAAATCAGAGCGATTCGTTTTTTTGATTCTGCTCAAAATAAACTCTGATGTTGTATGTTGAGCTCTAATCGTTCTAAATACTAATATGTCGCTTCTGTCGAATAAGATTAAAGCTTGTGTACTCTCATTGACAGGGAATATTTCCGTCCAAACATATGTAGCTGATACTACAATTGACATAAAGTCTCTATTTTTTATGTTAGCATCTGACGAAAGAGGAAACAAGAAAGGTTGTAGAACGATATGGATGATCATTTTTCTTTTTACAAACATACGCGTTCAACTTTGTGGTAAAAATTGAGTTACAACTGTCATCTCGAGAATTGTGAATATTTCATCACAAACTTATCACTACTCGCAGTATTATGCAGATCTTACTTTACAATAAAGAAAATTCGACTTACTATCTATGCTGTTTTGGAACAAAATGAAAAGATACTTTCGAGCTCTTTCCTTTCGTTATGAAGTTCTCTTCGACTATATAGTAATTCAATGAGTGCTTGGCATGTTTCTGAATGAATTTGATGTTTGAGTATGCAATGAAATGGATCAACTATCCCACAGCCATGCTCTATACTAAATGAAATGTCTATTAATACTATTGAGCGAAATGTAGTTTTTTTTTCACTTTCATTTCTTTCGTATTTTTTATAAGTTAAACATAACTAATGATTCCATTTTTCAACGACTAATTAAACAAGAAGTGATCTTTACTAGGATGAACACTCTTTTATAACCGATGAAAGTGTCAGATATTGTGATTTACATAGTGAAAATATTCAATTGTTTTTTTTATTTATGAAATATACTGTATAAAAAAAATGTTTTTTGTTTTTGTCCTTTCTCTTCTTTAGTTGCTAATTTAATTTATCTGTTCTCTCTAACTATTACCTTGTGACTTGTGTCAATAAAGATAAGAATCATTTTTTACGTAAGTTGGTCTGCAAAAAGGCATCTATTTAATATTCTTCTAGTATAGATATTATCGTCGAACTGTTCATTTGTGTAACTAATCATATCCAATCAAAAACACAAATAACAATGTTATTTTATATAGTGATTCTATTCTCGCTGATTTATTCAGCATTTAGTAGCATATCATGCTATGATTGTTCACTTTCACCTGACAAATACAATTATATTATTACATCTAATATGATCCCATCGGAAATTCTCACTTGTCAATTTAAAGTTAATCAAACTGGATGTCTTATTGATATCAGATGGTATTTAACTACAAATATGACTGGAATTAATTTCTTAGCCGATGAAACATTATCGTCACCATTAGAACATACACTTCGTGTTAAAACTTTGATGTCAGGATTTGGAGTTATACAACAAATAGAACATTCATTTTATTATTTTTGTACAACTGATCGATGTAATGATGCAAATGTATTCAAACGTATATTAGAATCTTTATCATTAAGTAGTCAATTAAATGAACTTAAAGATCTTTTGAAACCAGAAGATCCATTTGATGGTCGTAATTGTTTAATTTATGCAAATACAACTGATAAAAGTTGTAACATAACTAGTGATATTGATTCTAAAATTTGTAAACAATGTTCAACAACTTTTACAACTGAAACTACAATAGATACGATATGTGCAACTTGTTTTCGTGATAATGTATATGGAGATCATTTAGGTGAGGAAGTTCTTTTCAATATGACTAACCAAGCACGTATCTCGAGTTGGTTTATTCGTTGTCGATCACAAGGTTGTAATGGACTTAATATTGGCCGACAAATTCATAATAAAAGTCATATTTCATTTGATTTTAATAAGTTTCTAAGTCATAATACTAGTAGCAAACAAACAACATCGTCATCTTTAATTACGATTATTATGATTATCATAGCATTTATTATCGAAACTTTCTATTGATTGATGATACATTTGTTACGTAAGATGATCAAATATATATTTATTTATTTTTGTATTCTAATCAAAATTTTAGGTTTATGATTAAAATGAAAATCAAAGAATTTAGCATGATAATTTTTTTCAACGAAAAATATAAGAGATTCTTTTCACAGTTATTAATTTTATTGCTGTGCATACTGTTGATTTCTTAGTCACCAAATCTATGCGAGACAATAATTGAAACAGAAGAATCATAAACCTATTGACATATCTGTATAACCAACGTAAATATTGCAAAAAAACAAAATGAATATATTTTTTTTTTATATCTACCATTACAAAAGAGGTTGAAAGTGAAATATTAATTTTCAGTAAGTAGACCTTGCGTATAAATAATAAAGATATATGTAAGTTTTTGAGAGTATACAAAAACAATAAATTGCGTCTTTTATCTAAGAATATTTTTCTCCTTTCTTTGCTGATAAAAATTGAGATATTCATTATTTATAGTAAAGCAAGATAAAAAAAAAAGAACTTGTTAAACAAACTATACTATCTTTGATATTGTGATAATATAGACTATTCGAGATTTAAATATTTAAGAGGGGCTTGTCAAATGCAAGGATATCGTGTTTAATTGTAACAAATCGTTCTCTTTATTATGTATTAATCATAGGCAATTGTTAATAATGAGCAATAAGAAAAAAACAAAGAAATGTTATAGAAAATTCCGCTTTCGATATATTATTCAATCTCATTCTTTTTTGTTTATGCTTCTTAGAGAACGATAGGTTGAATAGAAAATCTGTTTTTGTTTTTGCATATCATCATTCACTAAGCGAACTAATACATATTTAAACTCGTTAAAATTGACTTCATGAACTGCTTTCGTTCGTATATTTTGCATAATTCTACTATGTTTCTTTTCTTTTTTCTTTTTTTATTTGTCAACGAATCCACACTTGAAGAATCGATGTTTTATTTATATTTCTTGAAATCGAACATGTAGATGGTAAATGTTCATGTAACCATTGAATAAGTTCATCATTTGTTGATGATGATGATGTTTTATGATTCCATTTATCATCTTTACAGTGAAAAATTAATGATTGAAGATTGCTCATATTATTAATTAAATCATTTACATATGTTCGATCTTTTATATCAATAACAAGAGTTTGACATTGACGTCCTAATGATGAATTTGCTAATGCAATACATTGTTCTTGATTGAAATACCAACTATATAACATTGATTCTTTAGTAAAAAAATCTAATCGACGAATTGATGTATTTTGAAATTTAAATAATATAATTTCTAAATCAGATACATGAGAAAATCTTAATAAATGAAGATAAGGTGCACGATTAAGTAATAATTGTAATTGATTATAAACAGAATCTTCAGGTAATAATGTAACATCAAGAGATATTAAATGATTTAATGATGGAATATTGAATAAGAATTTTTCATTAAATGGAAGTATAATTTCCAAATGAGATATATTTAAAAATTTTATAGGAAAATATTCGAAATTATTTGATATATTACTTTCATGTTGAAGATTTTGAACTTGATTATAAAATAAATAATCTTCTTCATTTGGACAAGTTGATTTTGAACAAGATTCATTTATAAAATTAAAATCATTAAAAGCATATGGTAAAGTATAAAGTATAGCATGACTAAATACATTTGATGGATTCCAATCACATCGAACAAACCATTGATGTTGTTGAATCCAAAAATTTGTTTGAAATGTATTAAGTAATTGATCAATTTTATCTACTACATTATTACTTTGAGAAAAATGAAAATCCATTTTTAATTGAAAAATTTTAAGATTTGGTAAAAATTGAATAAGAATTTTTTTCCATTCATTTCCATTTAATAATAAATATGATGTACTCAATGTTAAAGAACGTAAATTAAACATTATTTGAAAAAGATTTATCATTGTTGCTATTGAACCTTGAAATGAGAGATTTAAATTTTTTAAAAATGGAATACTAGTTTGAAGTTTTTCATTTTTCTCTGTACATATAATTGTTGTACAAAGTTGTTGAAGATAAGGTGTTTGTTTAAAAACATGAGATAAATAACGAAAATCACAGTTTATATTTTTAATCGAAAGATATTTTATAGATGATGATAAAATTAAAAGTTTCGTAAAACATATTCCTTTTGACATCATATTATCTATATGACAATTAATTAATTTTGGTAAATTCCAAATATTATTAATTAAATCATTTTCATTATTATTAATAAAACATTCAATCAATTTAAGATGTGTTAAATATAAAAGTTGATGACATTGTAAGATGATTTTATTCAATAAATCAATAGATTGAATTGATTGAATTGAAAGTGATTTTAAATGAATAAATTGATTAAAAGTAAAATTATAAGAAAGAAATATTTCAGAAAGATTTGGTGTTTCCTCATCATCAGCTAAATAAAATGAAACAATTTTATTAATAATTGTTGAAAGATGTTGTTGACAAACAATAGTAAAAGTATATTTTGATACAGATCGAAAATTCAAATGATAAAATTTGAAAGAAATATTGAGAAGTTTGTTAAATCGACAATTTAAACCATAGAAAGCATGAAGAAGATCAATAGCATCCAGATATTCGAATACATCAAGTATCAATTCATTAGGTAACTGTTCAAACTTCATAGTATAAAACAGAAAATATAATAAATATTTTTTTTTCTTTGCTAGAATTGATTCTATCGAATAGAATGAAATCAATTTTTTTTTGTTGCTTGTGCTTATGAACGCCCTCTATCGTAATCTGTATAGCTTCAATAATTGTATAAAAAAAATTATCGTTATCATTAGACAAATATAGAGATACATTTCATGACAAGAAAAAATTCTTGAAATATTTTAAATTGTAATTTATCAATAGACCTATAGGTTTTTTATAGTTTTCGAAAACCGAATTTTTCCAATTGAAGACATTCATCGATAGTTTTCATTCCACCACATGATGTTTCATCACTCAATGACATACCACCAATACAAACAGCCAAACGCAATGTTTTATCTAATGGCCATTGTTCATGAATACCGTAAATCATTCCTGCAGCAAAAGCATCTCCAGCACCAACGGCACCTTTGATAAATTCAGCTGGTAGAATGATTGAACCTTGTTTTAAAATATTTCCATCTTTGGTAATCAAAATTGCACCTTGTTCAAAATGGATTGTTACTGTTTTTCTAACGCCTATATCAATGAGTTGTTTAGCAGTTTGTTGAATTTGATCGATATTATCACTTGTTAAATGTTGATCGAATATTAAACCAGCTTCTGTTTCATTGATTATTAAATGATCGATAAATGGTAAAGAGGCTTGAGCAATTTTCGAATAATTTAAACTTTTTCCACTAGAAAAATCAACAATCGTTTCTAGTCCAGATAAATGTGCAGCTTCTAATACTTTTGATGCATTTGTTCGTGTATTATCGTCAATGAACTGATCTAATCTAGCTAATTGAGTTAAAGGACCAAGATAAAATAATTTTGCCGTTGTTCGAGAAAAATCAAAATGTTGTTCATTCAAATATGCATTGGCACCTTGTTGATGAAAAAATGTCCGTCGATCGGAATTTTCAACACTCATTACATAAGTGCATGATGTTGGAGTACTATCATTAATTATTGCTAATTGGGTCGTGTCAATATGGGATTTTATACAATCTTCTATCAGCCATTTACCATTATCATCATTACCTATTAAACCAAGAAGTGATAGTGGAAAAGAAGCTTTCATGGCTACAAGATTTTTAACAATATTAAAAGGTCCACCACCACCAACTATAGTTGGTGGACGTTGAACAAACGATGTACAATTTTCCATTGGCCAATGATCGATGATAATAATATAATCGACAAGAATGCTACCGCTAGCTATCAAACCTCTTCGATCAGTACGTTTTATCGTCTCAACTAACGTATGTTCCATTCTTTTTATTTGAATAACATTAATTTTGTTCAAATCTAGAAATAATAAAATATAATTATTAATCGGATAGGACTCAAGAGAGTTTTTCTTTAAATTCTATATAGATTGAATTGACATTAAAATTTATAAACATTTTTCTATATCGAAATATTCACAGACATTGACGAACGTTCGTTCATTTTACTAGAAAAAATACTAGTTCCGAAAGTCTAGATAATAATCTTTTTATTATGTCCAATTCTAATTGATTTTAAAACAATTTCTTTGGTGAAACATCACTCTAATCAAATTGTTTTAAAAGGAATAAGAATAACATTTGAATGCAAAAATTATGCATCTTATCTACCGACATATTGCTGATCATGATTCACATTGGTCTGAATCATTTCGATCAAGTGTGTAGTTGAGTAGCCTTCAATAAAAGGAATATTTTTGACACTTCCACCATTATGAAGAACAAAATCAGCTCCAACAATTGTGTCAATCGTGTAATCTTCACCTTTGACTAGGACATTAGGTCGAACAGCTTCGATTAGAGCAAGTGGAGTCAATTCGTTGAACAATGTTACAACATCAACGAACTGCAGAGCGGCTAGAAGACGTGCACGGGCATATTCATTGACTATAGGTCGTCCAGGACCTTTAATTTGATGTATTGATTCATCAGTATTGAGACCTACAATTAATTTATCACCTAGTTGATGAGCTTTTTCCAAATAATCGATGTGTCCCAAATGAATAAGATCAAAACAGCCATTGGTAAATACTATAGACTGCCCTTTGGAATGTAGTTCCTCAGCTAATTGAATGACTTGTTCGAGGGTGAGAATTTTTGATTCTGTAGTATGATGATTGTGCGACATAGAATAGCTTCGAAATTTCAATCTAAACAGACGTCTATTAAAAACAAATATTGAGTACAAAACGTATAAAACTATTGTACAGATCATTTTCATAAAATTTTACATGATCAAGCCAAAAAATTGTGAGAAAAAAAAATTAGTTTTATATTGTTTATTCTTGTAGGAAAATTCAGATGTTCATCAACAGTTTTGCTCTTTTTCTCTATGATCTATGCCATCGAAAAATAAACAACCATTTCATTAATGGTATCAGAGTCAATCGATCTTTACTAGCCCGTATTTGATGTTCTGTTTGTCATGAAAACTTTCTTACAGTTAATATGTTTTCATTGATCCACTATGGTTTTTTTAAGGCTGTGTTATGTTAATTATTCACTGTAAACTTACTCTGAAAATAAAACATCATTATCTAGTTTTACTGTATAATAGTCAATATTGCGATTCTCTTATCGTTTGAGCGTAATCAATAATTTAACTGAGAAACACTGTAATACTATTACCTGTGGACGAAAAACGATACAGTACGATTATACCTTGCACGTGATACTTCGTTAGTGTATGTATACCTTTTATTGTCATTTAATGATGCACAGGATCAAAAAAAAGTGAGAATCTTCGTTATCGATTGAAACGCTTGATTGGATTCAATGATATCACCTAAATACGATATGATTGAATACGAGTCTACAGCCAATAAAAAAAGCACGTTTTCTCATTTAGCCTACTCAACCTAATGGAAATAGTTAAAAACAAAAAAAAAAATTAGACACAAATGACTGCTCTATGCAGTCTATTTTTATAGAACTCAACCAAGATAATATTGGGAATCATTTCATTGAGCTGCATACAATCAGGTATTTCAATAAGTGTTTCTTGAAAAAAAAATCCGAATCCTATGCTGTAATACTTCTCAATATTGTAATCATTCAATGTAGACGATTTCTTTTCTGTAACAATCAAATTCTACAGGAAGTTTATTAGATAGATTATTGAAATCACTAAATCATTCAATAATATTTCTTTCAAGCAATTTAATAGAAAGAAAACGTAGTTTAGCCTTGAGAAAAATATCAGCGAAGAGGCTCTTTGGAGCTGCAATAAAGATGTTCGTAATTTTTGTAAATTTTTCTCTAAAAATCATATAGACATATAATGAATCTAACAAATGTTTTCAATCAACTTCTTCTTTATTCTAATTCAGTCATAAGAAAAATAATTACAGATACATGTACAAAACAATAAAACACATTCACAAGCATGAACGGCTAAGTTGTAACGATTGAATGAGGGTGATGAAATATTATATAATATTTTACTGTTATAGAACTTTCCAGCAACTGTTAAAAAGACTACACAACTTTGCTATAATTGATAAAAAATCGTTTTTATATACATGTTCGCCTGGTATAAGGAAACTACGTATTACGTACGTAATAGATTATTATTTCGAATATCTAATACGACTTATTTCAGTGTTTAAGTATAGCATCTAAAAAAATTCTCAATGATAATTCTATGATACTCATTGCAACGTTTTCAGGTATGTAAATTAACTCATACAACGATGTTTTAACGCATCTATATTTGAGAAATGAAAAATATTTACTTGATATAAGAGCCATTGTTGTATATGAATTAACTTCAAGTGAAAATCTTGAGCAGGATTACTTAGTGTTACCTATTAAATTTGTATATTTTAGATTAATTATGTTAAACTGATGTTTTCTGATTTTATATAACTTTTGAAACATTTAACACTTCCTGCAAAGTACTAGTCATAAGTCGCTTTTATAATAATATCTATCACTAGATGACATTAAAATACGAACGAAATACTTTGAAATACACAACAAATGATAAATGCAGAGATTATTTATTGACAAGTTCAAAACAATATTAACAATCAGTCGTAAGTCATTAGAAATAAGAAGTATTAGAATCACTAATAAAAGATTTTAGAAATATTCAAAAAGTAGATAAAACATATACTATATTTTATTAAATTGTACATAAGATCAATATAATCAATACTATAGGTAGATCGGATCATTAATATTGCAATTCGTATTGGAGTAAAAATTAATGGAAGTATTGGTATTAATGACTTTGGTAAACAACTGTAATCTTGCGATACGACAAGAATATCAATAGAATTCATCTCAATTTACTGTTCAATTAATGCAGATAAGTTTTGTATCAAAATTATCGTTTGGAAACTATTCTTACGAAGTGAATCTAGATCATAATGCATTACAGTATCAATTATAGAAATACTGAATTTTTCAAAATTATTTTCTATAACTAATATAATGAAGTATTGCTATATAGTTCAATCACTTTTTTTATTTGATTGAAATATATGAAACACAATCAGGTCATGATTGTTCATGATTAAAATCTTTCACGAAACAATAAATTTACAATCAACCAAAGATATGTAGTAATCTCAAATAGAATGAATGAATGTTTTTTATCTTGTTTTTCATAACTTTCATAAATATGAAAACATTTGATATTGTCTAATGTCAAACAAAAATTATAAATGAAGAACGAGCCTAGATTTCTAATATAATCAGATAACAAATGACTCATTTTGAAAAATCATTGTCAAAAAAAACAACATTATTTAATCAGAACAAAAGTGATTATAAAATATTCTGCTTTTGTTAATTCATTTATGACATGAAGTACATAAATGCAATTGAACAAATTACTTATAGAAGCAAGTTTCAAAATGCAACCTTATGATTACAGTAAAAATAATACCTAGTAATCTGCGTTGATATCAAAAAATTCTCTGTGAAATTCTACATAGATATAAATATATGCGTTTCCAGCTATCGAATTTTATAAATAAAGTTGATATAAGATTATTTCTTTCTTCTAAAATATTCTCCTGATACAAAATTAAAAATATTCTTAGGAAATCGAAAAATATCAATCAATTTCAATATAACTAGTGAAACTGTTTTCAACTAAGATAAACTGAATAGTTTCTGCAATATTCATCTTATTATTTCATTATTCATATCCCTTGTTTTTCGCTCTTCAATAACATGTGATAAATCAACTTTTTCATCATTTATTTTCATAGTAAGTGGATGACTACTATTTTACTACGAAATGAAACAAATATTAAATCAATCAAATATTATCTATATTAGTCGTAATATATATGTGTCAGGCAAATTTGGTATTCAGGCAAAATCGAACTAATGATAAAATTTGTTGTTTTGAAAATATTGGATACAATTTTGTCTAGTCAAAATTAAGTCTCTGCATAATTGAAATTAAACACCAAATTGGTATATTGGCTTCAATATTGTTCTGAAGTTATATTTTTTCATTAAATTCTTTTTATCGTTTACTAAAATTTTTTATTTATTTTTAATGATGGGGACGTGGGGATATTGATAATTGGTTAGATTTTTTTCATCAATTTTTTTCCTTTGCAAAAATTATTTATTTTTTTTAATGATGGGGACATGGGGACATTGACGATTGTTTAGATTTTTTTTTATCAATTTTTTTTTCGTTTGAAAAAATTATTTATTTTGTTTCGATGATGGGGACATGGGGACATTGACGATTGTTTAGATTTTATTTATCAATTTTTTTTTCGTTTGCAAAAATTATCTATTTTTTTTCGATGATGGGGACATGGGGACATTGACGATTGTTTAGATTTTTTTCATCAATTTTTTTTCCTTTGCAAAAATGATTTATTTTTTTTAATGATGGGGACATGGGGACATTGACGATTGTTTAGATTTTTTTATCAATCTTTTTTTCGTTTGAAAAAATTATTTATTTTGTTTCGATGATGGGGACATGGGGACATTGACGATTGGTTAGATTTTTTTCATCAATTTTCTTTTCATTTACAAAAACTTCGTATTTTCTGCAATGATGGGGACGTAGCGATTTCGGATGTTTGGTGAAATTTTATCACGTAGTCTTTTTTATAATTCAATGACATTGCTTGTTATTTTCATCAGAGGGACAGCGGATACTTGGTTGAGCTTCAACGAGTAGTAAGCTTTTTATCAGCAGCGTCTATAATGTGTTTGGACTGTTTTCTTCTAAGTTTTTCCGTTTTATATCATTTTGTTTTTATTGAGTAATTAATTGATTATTATGGTAGAATGATTGATTAAGAAAATGACTTTAGCATGGTTCAAAACCTGTTTCATCTGGTTTTATATATAAAAATGATTATCACTCAAAAGTTTTCGGATATCATGTTTCATCAAGATTTTGGTCGATGGAAGTTCGCTTCTCACTAATCGATAAATTCAATAAAAAGCTGTTTAGAGAATTTGTATAGATTTTCAAAGTTGCGTTGGTTTTTTTGTGAACATTATTTTAATTTCATACAAATTATTAGCATATACTGTGACCGATTCGAGCAAGGGGTTTGGGGGTTTGGAAAAAAATTAATAATATTGGTACAATAGAGATAAACTGTTTTTCGAGTTTGACATACTGAGCATTGCGCAATAAATATTTGTAACGATGGGCGATTTAGCCAACTGTAATTTGTAGCAATATATGCGAGACATTTGTCTCGACCATCATCAGCAATCTGATGATGGCTTGTCTGATTGATATCGAACATATCCTGATATAAAAGAACAGGTTTAACTTCTTTAAAATCACATAACAGTTGATGACTGCCGATGAGATGAAGCGTGAATGTTTGTTTACACCAGCGAGAAAAACGTCTGGAAACTTTTTCAGTAGGTAACTTGCTCTGAAGTACCTAAGTTAGTCCAAAAGTAGTGGCGCAGGCATATCAATTCCTTATAGAAAGCTCTGAGAAAGATTTTTTTTCTATATCGTCTGATAGAGAAAAGAAAGCTCTATTTTTCTATGCTATTTGATCATACTTTAACTAATACCATGATAATAAATTTTTCGTAAGACTTTTTTTGTTAACGTGTTTCCTCGTTGTACTAGCTCACAATGAGTCAGATGGGTTAGTTTTTTAGTTCACTAATACATTGTATTAATAACCAAAATATACCATAAGATGCAGCATGAAAGGCTCTACAATTTCCATAAGACCACTTATTTACTAGTTGCACTTTTTGTTTTCAAAATGGACAAAGTTTTGAGTGATCGGCTTTGGCCGTTGTAAAAACTGATCGTATAGAATTTTTCTTTTCCTCAAAACAATTACAATAAACTTTACTAGGTAGATTGTAGAACTTTTCACCCTGCATCTTCTGGTGTGCTTTGTTTTTCTTTTGATAAGGCGTATCAGCTGATAAAATGATCAGATAACAAAAAATGAATTCGTCGTGTATAAAAAACATTCTCTTTTTCATGGTCGAAATTTGATCGGTCAAAATTTAGTCTATTTTAAGACCAGAATGTACAACTAGAAAATAAATGGTCTTATGGAAATTGAAGAGCTTTTCATGCTGCATCTTATGACATATTTTGGTTGTTAATGCAGCTAATAAGGAATTGAAAACTGCGACGTACAACTTACAACGAGGAAACATGTTAACGAAAAAAGCCTTACGAAAAATTTATTATCATGATATTAGTTAAAGTATGATCAAATAGCATAGAAAAATAGAGCTTTCTTTTCTCTATCAGACTATATAGAAAAGAAAACTTTCACAGAGCTTTCTATAAGGAATTAATATGCCTGTGCCACTACTTTTGGACTGACCTAAGTACATTGATTATTTTTTCGCTTTGATCACGAGTGATAACACCTTTATTACGAAGTTCAGGATTTAATTTATCAATATGTTTTTAGCGAGGTCAGAAAATTTTTCACATGCAAAATCATGAATATTATGATGCGAAGAGTTTGTTTCTTGCAATGACATTGTTGATATCGCAAAAACAATATGTTGAAAACTATTTAGTGCTCAATGAATTTTGTTTAAGAAAATGAGAAAAAAAAATGATAATTAAATGATATAAAATAATCATATAAACAGCTAACGAATTCTGCCAAGGCAAAATTGAAATTGATAGAAGCGCCAAAGAAAAAACTAATTTTGCCTGTGACATATGTGTTTATATTTATGCAATGAATATTCGAGCAAAATGTGTATGAATTATAATTTGAATTTCTATTGTATGATTGCAAAAAGAAATTGAAAAAGAAAGAAAAGCAATCCTTTCATTGTAATACAATATTTCGAGAGAAATCAACATAATGACGATTTTTTTTCATACAATCATGTAGCTTATAGAGAATTAAAAAAAAAATATTTCGTCTTTTTTTTTGTGTAATATATAACCAAATGTGTGGCACAATTATATATAATGAATATACAAATAGTTATAAAACCATGATAAAAAAGACTTCCAAATGTTGTCGAATTGGCCGAAAAGCCAAGGTATTTAAACTTTGTTTTGTTTTTCTTTTACTTTTTATACATTGAGTTTATCATTTGAAAAAAATAATCGTTTGGCAATAGTTATTTATTATTTACACTTTTGTTTTGAATTTATGTAAACTAATGTATGTACTAAGTCTTATATTGTTAAAAAAGCATGTATTTTTGGAAAGAGATTTATAGAGATTATATTTCCATTCTTAAAAATTCAAGAGTGTCTGAAAAAATGCCAATCTTCATCTAACTTTAGAAGAAATTTCGAAAAGAATTTTTTAACCTAGTCCATACTAAACAATTTTCCTTTTCTTGAATATTTTTCAAGCGAATACGTATGAAAGGTACTATTATTGTATTAATTTTCTTCAACTGTGTCATTTACATTGTTATATCTCATCGACAATTGTGGCCACAGAGTTCTTCTACTAACTTTAATTTAATTTTAACCACAAAATCCATGATACCTTTCACATTTCAAAATCGACTCAAGTCAATATCTGATCTTGTTAAACAAAATGTCTATAATCAGTGCAAATCATTCTCCCAAAAAAGTCATTCATTAGAAGCATTGCAACATAATAATCGTAACAATCAATTCATCTCTTCTAACAGAACGACTACTTTAGAAAATGTTTATCTATTATTACGTTATTCACCAAGAAGAAATGATGAAAGTGGATTATATTTACAAGTAGCTACATCATATTTACTCTCACAAAATTTACAACAATTATCTATTCAACAACAAAGTCGAATACGAGTAGCTATTTTTCTTAGTGAAAACTATACAAATGCTATGTATTCACGATTAGAACAATGGTTTAAAAGTATTTATGAACCATACACAGATGTGACACATATCATTCGTACAAAAAATGATTATCAAGCATCACGAAAATTTATGATGAATTATACAAAATACAATGATGAAGTTCAATTAGATACAATTTTATTTCTACTCGAAGATGATTATATATTTGAGAGAGATATGCTTTCTGATACAATTGAATTTTTTTCTAGTCATAATCCTTGCTTTATTCAACAAACAGATGACTCGGATCGTTGTAGATTGGATATGAATGAAAATGATGGTTCTATTACCATTGTGAATGGAAGAACTCGTTTATGGCGTTCCATTTCTTCAACTACTGTTAGTTATGCATGTCGTTTGAAAACATTTCTGGCTTTTGAAGATATTTTGATGCATGATGACGATGATGATTTTGAATTACGTAGAAAAATACGTGATCGAGTTGGCAGTGTAGCTATATTCTGTGCTATTCCATCGTATGGTGCTCGTTTAGAAGCGCTTCTTTTGCCAAATGAAATCAATACAACAGCTGATATTGACAATGCAGCATACTTCAAGGATTGGTGGTCATTTGCTCGTCATGCAGTATCAGAAGCACAAAAACAAGATACTTTTCCAGCTCGAAAAGTAAACGAACAAAATCTTTTTCTTAAATAAAATATTTCAATGATATATGGGTATAGGTGTGTGTGTGCGTGTGAGTTGGTACGAGTGTTAATGTGGGTGTGGTGGGTATGTGTGTGGCTAAAGAAGAAACCTACATCTACATACTCTCCTAAAACCAATTTTGTTAAAATGCAACCATCATCCAAACTACGCAATCACACGATATAGCTGACAATTCATACGCCAAGGTAAGAAGTACACAGTCACACCCTACACTTCATGGTTCATTCAAATCTCAATCCCGATATATTCATTCCACGAACTTACTTCAACATCATCATCTATCAACATTAATTTGAATTCAACCATTTCGTCATCAAATTTTATTTTTTTTGTGCTTCTGCATATGTATATATATGAATTCAAAGTATAGTAAGGCTTTCTATCGAGCAAAGTCTGTTTTGAAGAAACTGCCCACCTCTTCTCAGTCACTGTTTGCATAAGAGCCTTCTACTTGACGAAGCCTTGAACGTTAATGGATGCTATTCTCTTCCGCCGAAATTTCGGCTATTCTCTGTGGAGAAAAACTATAACATTCAACGTTTTTCTTTATTTACATAAGAAGAAAAGGAAGAAAAGAAAAAAATGAAAACTCGATAAAAATGATGACTAAAACAACTAACGAACAGAAGCGGTATAAACAAGCAATATTTGCGCAGGTAAAGTTATGTAGATGTTTGTTGTTTGCGCTTCTCTTCTGTTCTCCTTACTCAGAAGACACTTTCTACTAATCTCAGTTCATAACATGAGTTCATTAATCTGCTGCGCTTTTGAATTAACCTGAATGGCGCAGTGAATGAATCATTGATACTAACTACTTCAAATAAATCACTAAGAAAGTGACACAAGGATACTTTATCAAAAACTTCTATAAATCTGTGTTGTAGATCCTTTATCAAAAGGATGCCGTAGCCTACAATACCGTCCCAATTATTTCAACTTTTACATTTTCAAAGTCCTTGTTCATACTTTACCGTCTGAAGTTTGCTGAAGAGACTTCACCCGAAAAAGAACCTTCCACATGTCATGCAGCTGATATATCACTGCACTCCACATCATAAAACCTACCTAATATACTCCAGGCCTCCCTGTCACCCTCAAAAAAAGTTACTTTTCGTCAGGATGGTCGAAATTAAGAGAAATACATAGAAAGATAACCCGTCATTTCGTCTTTCATGAATGACAAAAATTTTTCTTGGTACCTCGTTTTTTCCAAAAATTGTTGAAGATTTCTCTCAATTACTAATCGAAAAATAAGCCATTTTTGAAAAAAAACCAGAAATCTTTTTCGTTTTTTTCTCCGTTTATAGTTTCTTGAGCGCCCGGGCCAAATTTCTCTGTCGATACTCATTCAATATATTTACTTTTTTGTTTGAAAGAGCGCCTCAAGACGCAGTGCAGTACAGAGCACTTTTTTAAATTATATATACAGACACTTATGTGACTCGACACCAACTTTGTACGGTTTTCTCAGTCATTGAGGGTGCGGGTGTGGGGAGTTCCACACTTCAACTTATCTGCAACATGTAGGCACACAAACACGCAATGAATCATGCCCACACCAAATGATCCGTGCCCTTCAGCCCTAATAACCCGTGCAGACAGAGCAGCAGCCACACTGACACACCCGCAGACTGACAGTCAGGTGCTACTGACACTCATACACCCACCAAACTTCCCCATCCATGCCCAATCAAACGTAAACCAACTCTAAGGGTTACAATATCAACCGTAAAACTACACACACGCTTACTATAGTCTTATGAATTAAAAGTCCGAGTAAAACGTTTGATTTTTTTTCATGTATCTACAAAGAAAAAACAACAAGTTTTAACTCAGACTTTTCCTTCATAGTAGTATAACCCCCCCCCCCCCCCCAAAAAATAGACGGCCACCCTATATTAGAAGGCCACCCCCTGTATAAGGCCATGTCCGAGCAAACGTTCAAACCTCCTATTAGAAGGCCATGTACCAATTAATTAATATATTCCAAAATTAATGAAATTTTCATAAATATTAATTAATAATTAAGGAAATATAACCGATTTTCTAATGTTTTTTTGCGAAATCCTTCCTTTCCTATCATAAATAGTACACTTTTTAGAAAAAATGGTAGTTTTTTCAGCAAAAAACATCTAAAAAACAATAATTAAAGATATTAATTAATTATTAATTTTTTAAATTATTTTAATTAAAAACTGGCCAAAATTTGACCCCCCAATAGAAGGCCATCCAAAAGGTAGCGATGTGCCAAGACACTGTATAAGGGCATGCCCTTTTATTCTGGGGAGGGGGGGGGGGTTAGTAACTATTTCCAATAGTACTAAAGGTTTGACGCAAAACTTATTTTTCTCCTCAACAGATATCGGAAGAAAATTAAACATTTTACTCGAACATTTAATTCATCAGACCGTAGTTCTTGCGCCAATGAAGCCACACATGTGAGGCTGCCTATGGGGTAAGGATGTGGATGTGAGTGTGGGTAGGTGTGGATGTGGGTGAGTGTGAGTGGGTCTGGGCGTGGGTGTGGATGTGGGTGTGTGGGTGTGGGTGTGAGTGTGGGTGTGGCTGGGGTGTTAGTGTTGGTGTGGGTGTGGCTGGGATGTTAGTGTGGGTGTAGGTGTGAATACAACGAAAAACTGCACCCACACCCCTCCCCCCACCCCGTCTCACACGCCACACTCCCACCCCCACCCCCGCCCCCACTCACACCCCACACCCGCACTCACATCCACACCTATACCCACACCCCACACTCATACCCACACCCACACGCACATCCACATCCACACACCCACCCATACCCTCAAACTCGAATGTAAATATTTTTCAGATGAAAACTTAATGAAAATGATTTTCACAGCAGTTATCTCATTTCTTTTCTGTTATTGATGAATATCTACTGAGAATACAGTTGATATCAGTCTCTCTAACCAATACTCCCGTTCTACTTAAATTCGAGAAAGTTCATTGGGAGTTCGCCAATTGACGAAAGTACATGGGATATATCGGCGAATGTTCACTGGACGTTCGCCAGTGACGAAAGCCCACTTTGCGAAATTCCTATTGGCGAACGTCCGATAGCCCCTCTGTTTCACTCTGCTCATTTTCCAATATAAATGTCTCTATCAACGAGGGTTGACTAAAATATGATGATCTACCTGAACTGATATGATTTCTAAAATGGTAAAAAGAGATGCATGCTATTGGAAGTTTGGGTGACAATTGAAAATGTTGTTCTAATGAAGATCTATCAAGTGTACTATGAGCAAATTTTCGCGTTTGTTTATTCGAGATAAACACAAAACCACAAGTCTTACTTTACTAATACCTCTCGGACACACTTTGGGACAAAATTAACTGATTGATTTCACCACAATAACGACTTGATGCTCGATCGTTATGACTCATATTAATACTCGCCTTCTTGATGCTAATGAAGAACATCTGAATACACTTACTCCTCTACGTGGTTATGCAACGAAACGTCTTGTTTCAATAAAAGAAGCTGTTGTGGGATTACGTGAGTTGGTTGATGATGTAGACGTTCGTGTCTGGACAGCAACAAATAGATGTAAAAATCCTGCGGACACACTTTCTCAGGATGAATCAGCTGCCATTCTTTTGTACACAATCGAGTGGGACCCCGATCATCCTAGTCTGTATTCAGTCCTAAATCGAACACTTCGTCTTGAAGATCGAGGAAAACTTGTTCCTTGGTTCTCTTATTTAAAGCTTTTCTTAACCGCTCTGTTCAAGTTACCATCAATCAGTTGTACAGTCTGGCGAGCTGTACATGGTGACTTACGCTCACGTTACAAACAGGGTGATAATGTTACATGGTGGGCATTTAGCTCATGCACGACTACTATTAACGTTCTGGAAAGTAGTCAATACTTGGGTACATCAGGCCCATGCACATTATTCGCAATTGACTGCTTAAATGGAAAAGATATTAAACGTCATTCATATTATGCACAGGAAGAAGAGATATTACTTCTTCCATGCACGCATTTCCAAGTCATTAGTCACTTGAGCAGTATGGAAAATTTATATATTATTCATTTACGTGAAGTGCTACCACCATTTATGCTTCTTGAACCGCCCAATCCTATATCAGCAAGTAAGAAGAACATAAAACACCTTTTGCATGTATTGTACCAAGACTAGTATCAGAAACTCGATAAAACAATGTATTTGGAAACTGTAAAATATTGAAAATAATCAACAATGCCACAGATGCGTTCACATTCCAAAATATAATCAAAATCAGAGTTGCAGGTCTTACAATCGAAAGCATCTTTTTAAGGTATTCGAATGATAGCTAATTCTATCATTGCTATTTGCTTGATCTAACTACTGCACTAGTTGAATGTACTCGGCCAAGCGAAAAACAGACTTTGATCTGAAATCAATTGTGAGAACATCTTCAATTATCACTTCGTATTTGTTTTCAGAAATTTTCAAAGAGACTATGTTCTGTTAGAATCTGTATTCTTTTGAATCATTAACATCCTATTGCAATAGAATGTAGTAACTAACGGAGATAGTTCGTTGAATCAGTCGTAGTATGTGGATCTGAATGACAATGGAAAAGTATTCTAGAGGTGTGGTGAGTGACAGAAAAAGCACATAGAACACTCAATCCACATTAATGATTTTCACGGCAGCAATTACGTCATATGATAATAGATGAGAGAGGGGCGAAAGGAATACTATGATTATCTATCGAAATGTGCCAGTAATGAAAGTAGATACATAGATGTATATTTCTAATATCTCTAATGCATTTATACTTTGATATTTCTAACAGTAATAGAGCCTTATAGCCGTCGAATGGGTCACTCTCAAAAGAGATGCATTTTTTGTCTAATATAAATGACTTTGAAAAAGCTTCTGCTATTTAAAGCATTTATAGCTATCTAAGCACTTGCATAGCTATCCAAATGTTTGCATAGTTATTTAAGCTTTTTATAGCTATTTAAGTACTTACATGGCTATTTAAGTTTTCCACAGCTATTTAAGATTTCCATAGCTATTTAAGTTTTCTATAGCTATTTAACTACTCGCATAGCTATATAACTACTTACATAGCTTTTTAAGTATTTAAATAGTTATTGAAGTAGCGGCATAACTATTTAAATCTTGCATAGCTACTCAAACAGTTGCGTGACTATTTTTGCGCTCCATAGCTATTTAAACCTTCTCTTGTCATTTAAACAGTTTTGTGATGTCTCTTTAATATTGGATAATCGTAAATATTAGCAGGAATAGCTGTTCAACTCGAAACAATATATTGGTGATTGGCAGTAAAAGTGAATAGATTGGTATTGTGGTTAAACTGATGATGAACGACTTTTTCAATGGTACTTATCTTTTTGAGCAAGGGTGGGGTGAGAAATGAGGGATGAAACGGGCTTGGGTGCCCGATGAGTGGGAGTTTGGGTGCGTGGATGGTTAATCAATGTTACAACCACACTTCACACTCATGCCCATGGCTACCCACTCTACCCTTCTTGTATAAATATAATTATTGTTCATCGACCGAGAGCTAGTGTTACATGAACACCAATGATTGATTATGCTCCAGAAAGTTCTCAAAATCAAAATTTGTGACTATTAGTCATCGGTTAAATGCGTCTTGTTGAGGCCGCTTTACATAGCTATGAAAGATTAAAATAGCTATTGAAGATTTAGAGTTATGAAAGTACGTAATTAGCTATGCAAGATTTAAATAGCTATGGACAACTTAAATAGTTATGGGAAGCTTAAGGGTACCCCCCCTTTCCTCGCCCAAAATTTTTGTTTTTTTCATTTTTGGTTTTTTGTGGCCATTGTATAGTTTCAAGTAGTGTCTATCTACTGACTATATTTTGGCAACCAACAATTGCCTTTAAATATTAAAAAATTCGAGGAGAAATTAAATTTACATAGTGAAAATAGCTAAAATTTTATATTTTTTTGTTTTTTTCTCAAAATCAAATTTTTGGTAGGAAAAGTACTGTTTCATCCCCGTTTCTCCGGCATGGTAAGAGCGATCGAGCTGAAACTTTTTTTACATATTCTACCCACCATCTGGGGTGAGTATATTTTTTCTTTTCAAGAATTATTGCTCTGGTGATTTTTGGCAGCTTTCACAAAATTTGCTAGAGGAATAAAAACAAGCGTTTTTTTAGGGTAGGCTCAGTATTCTGACTTTTTTATTGAAACAACAAAAGATGAAAAGAAACTAAAAAAAATATGCACACCAAACAGTGTCTACTACCCATAAAAAAGTTTTCAGCTCAATCGAACATACCGTCTTGGAGAAACGGGGGCGAAAACTAGGGCCATTATTCGACATTGTGACCCTATTATCTCATATAAAACAGCATCAGAGAATTTTGAGTCTATGACAACTTTTGCTGTACTCATCAAGATATATCTGTCCTGAAAATTTCAAATTTTTCTGATCAGCCGTTCTCACGAAATCCCAGAAAGGGGGGGGGGGTACCCTTAAATAGCTATGGAAACCTTAAATAACTATGGAAATAGTTAAATAGCCATGCATGTAGTTAAATAGCTATAAAAAGCTTAAATAGCAATGGAAATAGATAAATAGCTACGCAAGTAGTTAAATAGCTATGCGAGTAGTTAAATAGCTAAATATTTGTTTAAAAAGTATCTCTTTTGAGAAGCTACCTGTCGAATAATCGAAATGTGCATAAATATGTATTTGAATGCTATTGTTTTGTTTTTTCTTGAAAATGTGAATTCTAACTAACCTTGCTCTATATAAAATAATTCATGAACAAGGAAATTACATTGGTGATTTTGTTATTATTTTCTTTAATTCTCAGTATAATTGTTCATATGTTCATTTCAATTCTTTCTGTTGCTATTTTGAATCTATTGTCCTCTCAACATGTTTAGATAAGAGAAGTCAAATTCAAGCACAGTACGTTTTAATCCTAATAATCCAAAAGAAGCCAAGGAAAGACAACACTGGTCGATATGACGAGTTAAGCATAATTTTTTTGTCTGGCAGAAAATGTATTGACTTCATTAAAAGATAGTAAATCAGATCAACTGAGTATGCGAATTGAGTGTTTTAACTGATGATGAATGAATAACTTGAGCTATATATCGCAGTAAACAATTTCGCCAGATCAGAATTCCTCACCTATTAATTCTTCTTCTTAAGGTCGAGTTTGAACTCATTCTTGGTGTTCACGACGTAAACAATAAGAAACACTAGATCAGTATTTGAGAACTGATTCACGTATCTTAAGACTTATTCTTACCTGCTTTGTTCCTTTCACGTAGTTATCTGTAGATATTAGATTATCCTATCGATGAAATTATGTTCCATTGAATGCAGATATGACCTATGAGGAATAGCAAATTGGCATACAAGTTGGATAGGTCACATCATCAAAAATATGTTTGCAAAAATTTCTTTTCATTATAGATAACAAGAGAAAAAAGACCAGAATCTATTTTCAACTCGGAATTTTAATCGAGTGTTCAATACTATTTATGGCTTGCAAAATTCAGGAGAAAGAAACATACCTGATTTTTTCTGAACTCAGGCAAACAAAATACTTATCATTTTGTAATTTTTAAGCACTTTCTTCTGATATCTTAGGTTCTGGCTCTGAGAAATCCAGTAATGAACAATTACAATCAAAATTGGAACTAGTAAATAACGAAAACGAGCGCCTGAAGGTACGATGCAATCAACAACAGGCTCAGATCGATAAGCTCGAGGTTGAAAACCAAGTTCTCAATACAAACTGTGCTGACTACGAAGAGGAGATTCATCGTCTCAAACAAGACAATCGTCGTCTACAACAAGAAGCTCAGCAGTATAAGCAAGATAATGTTCGTCTAAACAATGAAATTCCAAAGTACAAAGAAGAAATCCAACGTGTAGAACAGGATAATCGCCGTCTAAAACAATACGTCCAACAGTATGATCAAGAGATACAACGTTTAAACGATGAAATTCAACTTTTAAAACAAGAGATCGAACGTTTGAGACGTCCATCAGCTGCATCAAGCGAGCCTCCAGGAACTTCTTTGGCTGCATTAAGTGAGCCTCCAGGAACTTCATTGGCTGCATTAAGCGAGCCTTCAGGACCTTTATTGGCTGCATCAAGTGAGCGTACAAAAACTTCTTTGGTTGCATCTACAAGGACGACTAGTGAGTGAAAAATTGGATTATAGAACGTTTTCAAAGGCACTGGTCATCAATCAGCTTTCGTTTTCTCAGAAAACTGAATGTAAAGAAAAATGAATATGAAAACTGCTTGTTAAAATCATGCATCTAACCTACAAACTAATCTATCTATATCCAAATATATGTTCACAGAAAATTCTAGTATGAGACCGTTTTCAAGCTACAGATCGTACAATTTCATTACGACTATTTGAAAATTGAAGAAGCTTTACATTTTTGTAACCCTAAAATTTAATCTCATTTCATAGTTATTTTGAATATCTTGACTTCGAAACTAACCTTTTTCAATGAAGTGTTGCAATTTTTTTCAGTTTTTATTGCATCATCGAATAGGATTATCTTTACATTAACTGGGAAACCTGGTATGGAACAATGATTAGAGTTTTTTTGAAGACTGCTCTTTTTCCTTTTATCTACTTAATATTCGATCGTTTCATGCTATTGCGCTCGAGATTTTTAAAATTTCGATATATGAATATTGGGCTTACCTAACAATAAAAGATTCGTGGGGTTTCAGGAAGATTCCTACACAGATGACGACCTCATATTTCCGGTATTCGATTAATGGCTTTATGATGCGTGACTCTAATCAAAATATACCACGTGCTAGTTAGTTGTTAGTTTCATTCTATTTTGCGATGACCATTTTGAAAATAAGCTTAGTTTTTTTCATTATGAGGCAAGATCAATTATCCTAACTTCAATGACTTGAACTTAGTTTGACAGAATATGATGTAATTTCATTTTTTAAAACCATCTAGAGTTGCGTAGTGCATATTTTCAACGTTCAAACTTTTGCCTATTGAATGAACAAATTCAAATTTGGGAAACATAGGTAGATCGAACGCCTGTAACTCGCTTTGAGAAAACATAGATATTATCAATTCCAATGTCACACAATGTCTAGTTGATACGAACTCAGATGATTGGAACCCCCGAGAAATCGTTCATCGGTCATAAATAAAACAAGTTTGTGATTGCAATGATTGTATGTCGAGGATTTTTAACAGTCGGTAACAGACACACTCATCATTGACTAGATAACTGATATCGATTCATTACATGGTAAAAACCGTTCACTGCTATAATTACTCTAAGATACTCAGAATCATGACAAAAGGAATTGAAAGGTCAAGCTCTTTAGTTAGGATAGAAGCTTTTCTACTCCTTCATTGCCTTTTTGTCGAGTGAGATGGTTTCTCTTCAGTTTTTTCATGCTCGAAATAAAACGAAAAGTAAACCGTTTTGAAGGTTACCATATTTTATTGAATTAATAATCAGTTTACGAACACGACTATTTTTATATTTATTACTTGTTGAGCGAGCGAAGGATCTATTTAAATGATAAAATGTTAGAGAAAATAAGCAGTATCTGTCTGATGAAAAGTAAAACAAAACTTATGTAATACTAACTATCAAGAGAAAGTATACAAGTTAGAATGAGTCGAATATGAGACAAAGTCAGAAAGTTTAGTTGTACTTAGGTCAAAGGTCAAGCAAGTTGGATCTCCAAGATGGCCGAATCGAGTATTGAATTCCTACATTTAACACAAAAACGCATGTGTTAGAGATAATATCGGAGTTTTTAACAAATTAGATTTCTATGTTCTGGCAACTTTCATCGAAACAACGTGGTAGTCATTAATTGACTTATTTCGACTTTCCTATTGTCTCCTTAACAGATCTAGTGTAAAGCTATCATATATGCCATACATGATTAGGTAATTGTCTGATGCTTTCATTTAGAATCTTCAGAATTTGCTGCACCTGGTAGTTTCCAGAAACTCAATCGAAATTATTCATCTTTCAAGTGATTGTTGATCAGTATCACGTCTCAAAGAATTTGCTTCGAACAGAGCACAGATGATGAATACAACTTTTGTCATAAGTAGTCATATATCCGATGGTTTATTTATAGCTAATCGGAATAGAATCTGTATGCTCACGGAGAAAAATAATTGAAATAAATGTTGGCGGCCGTCCTTAGCATTCGCTTCCTCTATCGACTATGAGTTGATGAAGAGCTTCTGAAATCCACTGACAAAACCAGTGATTAGTAAACTTCACCCTCCTAAGAATTATTCGTCTGCCATATGAATTCCAATTATTAGCCCAACTCCAACGATTTGTTTCCCTGAAGGCAACATTTTATAACAGAACATTTGTGCCAAATGCCACCAATGTCGTTATGATTATTCATTTTTTCGTACGAGCTTTGACCAACAGATGAAGTTGACACCTTTTTTTCTGACGTCAAAGGAATATAAGCGAACAGAACCCTGATTCAATTGAGCCAATTGAAATGCTATCTTCGTTACATTTAGCAGTGGAGTAATTTTGCTTGGAAATAATTAGCATAGATGAACACAGTTATTGGCATTATTCGAATTATTCATGTAGTATGTGGACATCCACGTACTATTCAATCAAAATATGTACATTATTGTAGGCAAAATAGGCCATTTGAACCTACTGGCGATGATGATTATTTATTTGGTCGACGACTCGCAGAAAGTTGACTGTTTTCGAATAATTGGTTTCAGATTGGCTAGATAGATGAACCAAATCTTGAAGACACATGGAAAATGGTCATACATTTGATACGTGATCTTCACTCTTGAATAACAAGCAATAAATCGTTCGCAAGCAATCAAAATTAATGAACCACACTACTGGATACTAATGATTCATGTTTCATGTAATTGTCGATCGTCCTCATAACTCAAAAACTACGTACCGCTGTAAGTCAAATAGCTGAGGAATATACCGGCAGTCAGAATGATTTCGTTTTCATGTAATCATTGAAGCACGCAATGGCTCACATATTTAGATCCAAAATGGGTTGAATAGATGTGTATCACCGTTACAAAAATTATGATCAATCATTCATTGCGTCATATTCCAAATGTAAATATGTTTTGAGCATTAATTACCATATATACCACATTAATGAACCAAAGTATTGGCTTTCGGAAGATTGGGAAACGCTTATTCAGCTATCATAGCATCTTTTCTGAAAAAGCAACTTCAGTGTTTGTTTTCATAATGTAAGAAATAAGTGCATAAATTTCTCGTAAATATTATCCATTAATCTTGTGATTACTGATCAGCTAATTGATTTGCAACATTTATTTGAACATGAATGAAAAGAAATGAATAACACCGTTGGGAGATAATGATTCATTTACGATATGATGTGCGATGAGTTACACGACTCACATGCTTCTGTACGAAATTATTGACGTAGACGAATGAAACACCGATCATGCTTATTCATGAGTTGTACGACCTTCAATCCACATTATCAGCTCGTAATCTATTTTTTCGAAACGACAACGTTAGATGAACATAATTTTGATGAAAAGATTTACTTGGAATGTAGTATTTGATGTATTCAACAATTCATATTCTTTCATTTGAATATCAAAAGAATATATGGATGAAATCTGCGTTTGCAGTATTCCACTGCACTCTAAAGTATCATCAGCTCATCGACTTGAATGCTATACATCGATTCTATCAAAATAAATGAACATGGCCATGTTGTGAAAGATTCGTGTGCTATATACTTATCGAAAAGTAAACGTTGCTTCTACTTTGAAAGTAAGATGAAAACATAGATAAATAAAACGGTTGGGATACAATGGTTTATTTATATCATGGGTTTTTCATCATTAGAGAAATTTGAAGGTTATGTTTCCGATAAACCATTATTGTAGAACGCAACACGCTTTATTGTTATTCGTTGTTTCTGTGATATTCAATCAATTAAGTGAATTTCTATCCATAATTTAAAGAAAATTATAATAAGTGAATCGAGCCTTTTTACCAAACGTTAGCATTATTCTTTTGTCATATAACCAATGGTCAATTTCGATCCATACACATAATTTGATTCAAAATGAGTAAAATAAGTGAAAATATTCGTCTAGATGATTCATTTAACAGATGATGATAAATTAGTTTAATAGTTTCAAACTTTAGTTGCTCGAATGAAATAGACGAACATAAGAATAATCATAGTTATACAATTGTAACGTAACATGAAACCATTCAATAAAGTTTAAAGCACTATAAGAAGATTCTTAAAATAGATGGAGAAATGATTGGTTCAGAATAGTTAACTACCTTGCGAAATCTTGTTTAATGATAAACTTAAAAAAATCGCTTTAAAATCTCGCAAAATAATTGATCGCAATCCTGCAACGTGTCGTTGGAACACCATTGCTATGTGTTTTACGATGACGTAACGGAGTCACCACCTTTGCTTCGCAGTGACCAACCGAAGCGAACAGAAGTCTCCTGATCAATGTGTTCGTTTGCCATGTGATGTTTGATGAATGATCCAGCTCAAAGATTTGCTTCGAAGTGAAGAAAAGATGTCAACAGAAGCATAGTGACTAATGTTCGTATGCGATGTAATGTTCACTAGGCAGACCGTGTCGCAAAGTATGCATCACAGTCAACAAAAGCGGTGAGCACAAGTCTTCGAGTAATGTTCATTCCCATCTGATGTTCAATGAGGTGACCAAGTCGCCAGGTTTCTGTCCAACTGAGTAAAGGACGTGAACAGAAGTATACTGAGAAATGTGCGTTTGCCATCTGATGTTCGATGAGGTGATCGAGTCGCAAGATTTCCTTCGAAGTGAGTAAAAGATGTGAGTCGAAGCTTTATCAGTAATATTCATTTCCCATCTGATGTCCGATGAAGCGATCGAGTCGCAAAGTTTGCTTTGAAGTGAGCAAACGAGGTGAGCAGAAATCTGGTTATCAATATACGTTTGCCATATGATGTTCCATAAAATGATCGAGTCGCAAAGTTAGCTTTCAAGTGAGAAAAAGAGGTGAGCAGAAATCTGGTTACGAATGTTTGCTTGCCGTGTGACGTTTGATAAGGTGACCGAGCCATAAAGTTTACTTTGAAGTGAGCAAAAGAGGTGAACAGAACTCTCATTACGAATATTCGTTAGCC